ACCCCCAGTGTGTAATCTGGGCTTCTTTGAGGCTTGGGCCGTTGCATTTTGGGCCTGAGTTGTTCTCTGGGCTCAATGGACTTGTGTAGGAGAAGTGGGAGTCTATGGGCCGGGGGTTCCTGGGCCATATACTCCATCAGGAGTCCCTCACTCCTTTTGCCGAAAGGTACTTGAGGGAAAAGGAGTAGATGTGTTGATTCTTCCGGAGGCTTTATCATCTAGTTGGTCGCCTTTGCTTGAGAACCTGCCTCCTACTGATTGCCGACGGCTTCCCTCAGTCCCTCACATGTCGAGGGTTTCTGAGGGAAGTATAACACCTGTATAACTGCCGAAGGCTTTCCTCAGTCCCTCACATGTCGAGGGTTTTCTGAGGGGAGTATAGATGTATTGTTTGCATGTGTTGTGATGAGGGCTGCTTCATTGACACAAGTGGTTTGGGGGAAACTTTTGATATTTCGCTGTTGTCGAAGGGTATATTGAGTTATGTGCCCGAGGGGTTCCCCTGTAATGTTTGCTCGAAGGTTTCATGTGTCACTTGCATGTCACTTTGTAAGTTTTTGCTATGTGAGAACTTTGTTCAGTGTGATTCCCGAGGGGTGTATCCCAGTCCCTCACTCCTTTAGGCCGAAGGTAAGTTCGGGCCGAAGGAGTCATGATGTGTTGATAAGCTCCCCGGGGGGTTCCATTGACTCGGTGTCAGCCAAAGGCCACTGCGTGGTGATAGCCGGAGGCAGTCTTTTGAGGGCGCTCTGGTATTTGGGGAATATAGCCGTTGTAATAGAGTCGTTGGAAGAGGGTTCCACGTGACACTTTGTCGTTGGCAGATGGGGGGCGGGTGCCACCCATTGGTTGAACCGGCGGCCCGTAATGATGGCCTTTTTAAATCGAGGCCCAATTCTCGAGGCTGAAAGCCTATATATACCCCAAGGTCTGAGTCATTTCCCCTGCGCGATTTTTGTGATAGCGAAGCTCTGCCCTTTTGTTTTCTAGAGAGAGAAAGCCCTGTTCGATCAAACCCCAAGTTTCGAGGTCAGTTCTTCACCGTTCTTCGATTCTTCTAGCATACTTTGCTCTATTGTTCTTAGATTAAGTGTTAGAGCCTTCCTAGGAAACCCCTAGTATCCTTCTTTCCTTTTCCTTCCATACTTGCGTTCTCTCGATTCCGAAGGATGTCATCAGCAAGCGATTCCCAGAACTACTCGGGGGAGCCCTCGGTTTCAGCGGGGAGCATCTCTGACACGGAGTCATCGAGCGAGCAGTCTTCGACCAATAATGACCTTGCCGTGGCTGAGGAGGTACAAAGCAACCTTCGGGTTGAACTGGAGGCTGAGGAATTTGAACAGGTTGCCGCCGATGAAGAAATGGCCCTCGCTCTCCAAGTAGCTGAGGAAGAAGAAGAGAAGGAGCGACAGGAGGTGACGGTCGCTGTTTTGCCCCTCCGTGGTTCCGGGGAGGCGAGTACCTCCCGGCCTCTAGATCCGGAGCCCCTCAGTGTCGCCGTGGGGAAGAAAAGGAAGGGGGCGAAGGCTCCTCAGAAGAGCAAGCAAACCGTCGTGGATTGCGGGAAGCCCGTGGGAATACCCGAGGGGCATTCGTGGCTGAACACTGCTGCCCTCGCGCTGAAGTCGAGGGCTGATCAGGCCGAATGCTACGTCACCCAGCTGCATGTGGGCCCTTCGGCCACCGTGATTGAACCGGGGCCCAACGATCTCCTCTCCCAGGCTCCCGAAGGATGCTTCGCCGTCCATGTGCTATCAGTTGCCATGGGCCTTCGGTTCCCACTGCACCCATTTCTTCTCGAGTACCTCAGGTACGTGGGGTTAGCCCCCTGTCAGCTAACCCCGAACAGCCATTCATATATCACTAGCTTTGTGCAGCTCTGCCGGTCTCGGGGGGCAACTCCCACCCTCGATCTCTTCTTTCAGAGCTTCAATTTATGCCGAGGTGGCCACACAAATTCCGAAGGGTTCGCGAATCTCCGGCAGATTGCCAAATGGAGGCTTTTTGATGATGTGCCCTCGAGGGGTGTGCGGGAGTCTCGCTCCACGAGCCCTCGCTCTTCGGCGTGATCCAAAATGACGCTGACAGGATGCGTCAGGGGAGTGCGTGGGTGCTCAAGGAGGACGGGTTGCGCCCATGCCTTCGGATTGTTCTTGTAACCGCCCCCGGATCTGGCTTGGCCACCTCGGGAGCGATCGTTGTATTGTGCCTCTCGGTTGGCCGGAGGGGGAGGCCCTCCGGGCCGATTCCTGCCTTCATTCTTCTGAGAAGGATCCGTGTTGCGGCGATCCTTCTCGATTTCCTCCGCCTCGGCATATCGGTCCCCCCACTGAAGGGCTTTTGTATAATCGCGAGGGGGATCAGTGATAAGGCTCCTGGAGAAGTTACCGTTGCGGAGGACGGTGTGGAAGAGGGCCATCAGTGTTCTGTCATCGGCGCCCTCGACCTCAAGGGAGGCCTGCCTCCAGCGTTCCAGGAAACTCCGAAGGCTTTCCTCCTTCTGTTGCCTCACATTCAGAAGGTGGGAGAAGTGTTTCTTTGAGCGGTGCCTCCCGGCAAATTGTGTGAGGAAGCGGTGGGCAAGTTCCTGCCAGGAATCGATGCTGCCTTCGGGCAACCGGTTGAACCACTCATACGCGGGTCCCTCCAAGGTTGAAAGGAACCAACGACATAAGTATTCATCCGACGCCCCCATCATCATCATACTGTTCTGATACCTGCTGTAGTGTTCTTGGGGATCTGTCTTCCCCTCGTATGGTTTGATGGGCTGCCCCCGATATTTATGGGGGATTTTGGCCGCCAGCACCCTTGGGGTAAAAGGCGTCCTAGTGCGGAGCTGAATGAGAGGCTCGCCGGAGCCTTCGGCTAGTTTACGCTTCATCTCCTCCACTTGCGCCCGGAGGTCAGCGTACTCCGGATCCGGCCTTGCCGTGGAAGCCGTCGGCGGTGCCTGACGATTCTCCTCAAGTTGACGGAGGAGGGCCTCGATGATTTCGTCCTTGGGGTCCTTCGGGGCAACCCCTGGGGAGTTGGCCCGGAAGGATTGCGCCTGATTGATTTGGTGTCTGGCATCATCGGCATGGAGGAGGGCTTTGCCCTTGCTCCGGGGTGGAGGCATGCCCTCGGCCCCCGAAGCAGAGGCTCCACTCTCCTGGGGCCTGCTGATTTCCTGTTTGCCGAGTCGGTCTTGGACCCCTCGGCGTCCGGGAACTCCCCCCAACCTCTCAAGTGCAGAGGTTCGGGGCTTTTCCTTCATCATAGGGCGCTTATCCCTGGATTGGGCCTCCTGGGAGGCGGTATCCTGTGTCATGACCCCCTCGGCATTGCCAATCCCCGGGGGAGGATTGTTGAACAAAGGAGGGAGTGGTGGTAGTTGGATAACATTCCCTCCAGCATAGGGCTGAAGGGGTGCTTGAGAGACGAGGGCTTCGGAATTGAGAGTCATGTTTTGTACAAAGGCCGCAAAGGCAGCCTGAAGATCGATGGCCGGGGCCGGAGGGGGAACTTGGTTCTCACTCCGATCCCTCCTTCGATTATCAAGGCCAATGCGGGCATCAGGGGCGTTCTTCTGTAACTGCTGACGGAGGTCAGCAGTAGCCTGCTCCAATTCGAGGATGATACCACCCTCGGGTACCAAGAGCCTGTTGGAGGCCTCAGCCCCGTTGGTTTCGTCGGGGGCTACATGGTTCTCCTCAAGGGTTTTGGATTGGGCACGAGTTGTTCTTCCCATTTTTGGTAGGTGTTTTGAGTTTGGTAGAGGGGGAGGGTTTCTTACTCGATTGTTCTGACCTCTCAACGGGAGCACCAAATGATGGACTGTCTACCCGGGGGGTATCTTATCCGAGGGGTTATTGCGGAAATAACTTAGAGAGAAGTCAGAGCAAAATAGGAGGAGAGAGAGTCGATTTATTAAACGAACTCGAGATGTGGAGATGGATGTGGTTTTTTTACAATGAGAAATGGGCTGCTATTTATAGCAGCAATAAATGCGATGAGAGTACACGTGTCAGTAATCCGACAGCCGAGGGGTCACATCAGCCGGGTGGCACCGGCAGTGGTACGTTCACCGCATTGAATGCGGTTGGCGGATGTGGCGTGGCATTAAATGCGGTGGTTGGTTGTCTCCAAAAGGAATCTTCGATGATTGAGTGTGTTTTGGCCGAAGGCTCCCCGTGTAGCCGAGGGCTCCATGTGACCAAGGACCCCTGTGTAGCCGAAGGCCTTGTGTGACCGAAGGCTTGGTTCAGCCGAAGGCTTCTCCGATGCCGAGGGCTTGATAATACCGAAGGCTCATGTCTTTCGCCGTTTTCTCCCAGTAGCTTCTTATGTCAGAGAAGGCTGTCCTGTGAGTTTTGGAGCCTTCGGCCAAGGAAGCCGAAGGCACCCCCAGTGTGTAATCTGGGCTTCTTTGAGGCTTGGGCCGTTGCATTTTGGGCCTGAGTTGTTCTCTGGGCTCAATGGACTTGTGTAGGAGAAGTGGGAGTCTATGGGCCGGGGGTTCCTGGGCCATATACTCCATCAAGACCCATTATAGGATCAACGAGTCATATTGTTTTTTCCATGGTGGTTGGAAGTGGCTCTTTTATCTTTTTGTTCCCTTGCTGAATGCTTTTATATCAATTTAAACCGCTTTGTTCCAAATAAAAACCTTAAAATTCGCAAATGGCAATTCAATTTAGGATGGTATTAATTTGATTTATTGGGTTTTACCTCATAATTTGAACCTGTAAAGAAACAAAATAAATTACTACCCCTCCCATAAATAGTAATTATGTATTTTCTATTTGGATAGTTCCAAAGGTTAGATTTTGTTTTTGATAAATGACCCTACACACATTCATATTATAAACTTTTTATTTAAATATATACAACTCTTAAGGTTTATTCTTTCAACTTCGAAGACCCAACACCTTCCTTTAGGTTTTGAGTGGAAGAGTTTTGGTGGATTATGAGTATTTGGATAACACAAGTAAATAATGGACAAGTAAAGAGTAGTAAGTGGGCCATATTTTATTAATCAATAATAAGGGTCTATTACAGCACACTTCACCAGTCACCACAAGCCCGCTAGCCCGATCGTCTATCTGAGCTGGTAAGAGGGGCGATCATTGCTATTGCTAGAGAATATAAGTTGTCAACTCCTAACTATAAAATAAATGTTACTATTTATACTACCAAGGGATAAGTGGTGGGGATGATATGGAGGTTCATGATTGGCAAGCACATTCTCCGGGTCTTCTGACTGTGGCCCAAGTAAGCACAATGACATGGCACCGCTCGGCCTACATTGGCTTTCCTCCCCGAGGCTCTTTGCCCATCACCTGGCTCTATTTGGCCAAAGATACTGAAGTTGGGCGTCTTCGATGACTGGACGAGCGTCTAGCTGACTTCCATACTGGGTCGCTCCCAAATTGGGCCTTGAGGGTTTTCTTTGCTAAGGGGTAATGGGCCACTCCTCTTCAGCCTATTAACCCAAAAACTGTCATTTTTATTTGGGATATTTTGACTTTGCACCGCGCTTTTTGGGTGATATTGGACTTTGCACCCCATTTTCAAAGCTGTTAGACTTTACACCCTATTTCCCCTAAAATGTTTTTGCCTTTGCACCCCATTTTCAAAACTGTTAGACTTTACACCCTATTTCCCCTAAAATGTCTTTGCCTTTGCACCCCATAAGCAAAATGTTGTAGATGAGGTGCAAAGTCTAAAAGTTTTGAAAATGGGGTGCAAAGTCCAATATCACACAACAAGTGGGGTGCAAACTCAAAATTCCCCTTTTTATTTTACTACTTTTTCACTGCTACAATAAAATTTAGGTATAGTGAACCAATTTCTTAGTCTAAGAGCCCATGTAAATTGTCATTGTTAATTTGAAACGGAGAGAACATAACAACCCAGCCGAGTAGACCGGAACTAGACCCAAAAATGGCGGTTCAAGATACGAGTAATTCTTTCCTATGAACTGGAGCCAGCCAGTCCGCAACCCTAATAAAACCACAAACGGCCAGTATCTAGACAATTGTACTACTAATTTTGAAAATGGGATGCAAAGTCCAATATCACACAACAAGTGGGGTGCAAACTCAAAATCCTCTTTTTATTTTACTACTTTTTCACTGCTACAATAAAATTTAGGTAGTGAACCAATTTTTTAGTCTAAGAGCCCATATAAATTGTCATTGTTAATTTGAAACGGAGAGAACATAACAGCCCAGCCGACTAGCCGAGTAGACCGGAACTAGACCCAAAAATGGCGGTTCAAGTAATTCTTTCCTATGATCTGGAGCCAACCAATCCGCAACCCTAATAAAACCAGAAACGGCCAGTCATCTATATCGAGAAATTGCACTTGTACTAATACATAAGTCGCTTAATTGTCCGTACACTGAACACGTAATGTTCTGGTAACCATCAGAATGCACATTTAAATAGCGTGAAATAAGTAGCTTTAATATTTAAATTTACAAAAGAAAAGCAGCCTGCAAATAAATGAGGCCAGTTGCTCGAGATTTTACTAGTAACCATCAGAATGTACATTTAAATGAAATGAAAGATAAGTCGCTTTTACGGGAGCAGGGGTTAATTAGCCATGCGGCTGATAACCTTTGATAACTTCAAAAAAAAAAAAAGTAAGCAACAAAATTAAATGGCCCCTGTTACTTAAGTATCTGTTTCCAAGGAGGGTATTGACGGTCTTAGAAGCTGTTCTCTTCGCCTGATCTGAATGTTTCTGATCTGAATTTTTTAAGTTCTGATCTGATCTGATCTAAATTTTTCTGATCTGATCTGAATCTTCCTGATCTGATCTGATCTGAATGTTTCTAATCTGATCTGAATCCTTCTGATCAGATCTCAATCTTTCTGATCTGATCTCATTTGAATATTTCTATGATTATAATTATAATTATAATTATTATAAATGCAATTACAAATATAACTTAAATAAAATTATAATTATAATCGTCACTATAAAAATAATAATGATAATTAAAATTAAATTTAAAATGAAAAAATTTATACATATTACACTAATTATAAATATAGATATAATTATAATTGTAATTATATTTTTAATTATAATTACTTATATAATTATAATTGTAATTATAATTACAATATTTATCTCTATAATTGTAACTATAGTTATCAATATTATTATAATTACTCCGTAAAATAATTACAATAGTAACAATAATAATAATAATTATTATAATAATAAAAATAATTATTATAATCATAAATTATAACTATAACATAATTATAAGTATATTTATAATTAATAATAATTATAATTATATTAACATTAATTATAATATTATAATATAATAATAGTAATATAAATACAATTAATATTATTATAACGATATTATTATATTAATATTATTATTACAATAACATAATAAAAATAATAATAATATTATTATTATTATAATTAGTATTATATTATTATAATATTATATTATAATTATACTTATAATCATAATTATAATTACGATTATAATTATTATAATTATAATTAATTACAATTATAATTATAATTAATTATAGATATAATTATAATAATTACAATTGATATACTTATAATTATAAGAATTATAATTGTAAGTATAATTATAATTACATATAATTATAATATAATATTATAATAATATTAATCATATTATTATTATTATATTGTAATAATAATAATAGTCTTCTTAATAATTTCATTTATATTACTATTATTATATTAAAATATTATAACTATATTAATATCTTATTTTTTTTATCATATTATTATTAATATTATTAATAATAATTATATAATAATCATCATAATAGTAATAACAATATTAATAATAATAATTAATATAATAGTAAAAGTGATAAATCATGTTTGAACCTATTGAATCTGATCTGATCTGAATCTTTCTGATCTGATCTGAATAAAATAAGAATAAGTAATAAGTAATAAGAATAAGACGAACAGAACAGCACCTTAGTCTATATCTGCATGTACGTTTAACATTTTATAAAAATTAAAAGTTTTAACATTACATGACCATGTAACAATCAATCACTTCTTATACTAGTATGTTTTAAAGGTCATGTTATTTATTAATCAAGATATAGACTAGGCACTTCAAAACCTTCCCGGCCAAAACCTATTGAACATATCCAAACAGAAAAGCTAAAAAAAGCTTTATATCCTACCTTCAGACTATCAGCAGCACTCCTGAACACCTATCCTACTGATTTGCTGATAATAGACAATACTTTCCCCTTCAATTTTTCGATTCGCTGCATTACAACATATAAATGAATACAAGACAGATACAAAAGACACAATGCGAGCACACAAAAAGGAGAAAAACAAAACATACCGAGCTAGATTTCTTAACCCAGTCCTGGAGAAGAGCTATGGAGCAATTTAAATGAGAGCAGTGCGGGTGATCATAATTTAAGTGATAGGTTGAATTCTCTGTCCCTTCAGCCACCCAGATATGGTTTGTTCCATCTTTATCTTTCTTAGTGAGATTCAAGAAACACACCTATAAAGACAAATCCAGTACGCCGGAAATCTAAGTACAAAGAGAGGCTCGCACACTCAGCAAATCCTGACTAAATGTATCCATCGAATTTAGCAAACACGTACCACTGATCCAGCAAGTTTACAAAGTTCATTTCCGGTGTTTGCTAAAGTAAAGCTAATTGCCAACAATGAAGTATCCAACGCAGTTCTCGATCCATCAGTTACAAACACCCATTGTTTCTTTTGATGAGCCACTGTATACAGCTCTCCAACATAAATGACCAGTGCAGCAATATCAATTTCTCTGACAAACAAACCCATACAATAAAATCAAATGCAAAATTGCTTCTTGTATGCCTTCAAATTCACTGCGGGTATGCTTGAATCACGAAAACTGTTGGGGAAAAGAAAGCAAATGACAACGAAAGCCAATTTCATATGCTTGGATTTACCTTAAAAATGCAATGGAAATTAAAATACTACTAGTTTTGATTTTTTGCATATATTTAGATCTTAAACTTTGTCAAGTTGAAATAAATAATACGAAGTAAATAAATAGATAGATAGATAGATTAGAAAGATTAGATAGGTAGGTAGGTAGATAAATATTTATATATAAATAAATAAATAAATAAATAAACAAATAAACAAATAAACAAATAAACAAATAAACAAAAAAATAAATAAATAAATAAATAAATAAATAAATAAATAAGTAAATAAGTAAGTAAATAAATAAATAAATAAATGTGCTTGAGAAAATATCTACAATAAATTTATTGAGTTTCAGCGCAGCTTTTACTTTCCCCAAAAATTATTTCCTTCCAATTTGAATCCTTATTTTTCCTCCAGGTCCCTACATTCCAAACGGACCCTAAAACTAATACGGAGTATTAAAGCATTATACCCTCACCTTGATACAGGAACTTCATCTAAGTTAGATAATGAGATTGATCTTCGGGGCATGAAAAATGGCCTGCAAAAGCCCTTTTTACAATTCTGGGACGTTATGGAGATAAAGAAACAAAGGGTTGGTGAGCTAAGCTTACTGAAAATGTTGAATTCCAGAGGGAGATAAAGGTTTCCATTTTGATGTAGATCCTTTTGCATGCAAATAAAGGGCGCTTGAATCGGAGCTTTGAGCCATAAGCCCTGAAACTTCGTAAGCTTGCCCCTCAGTGAGTTCCACTTGCTGAGAAAATCAATGAGTAAAATATGTGATGGAAAATTGATATGAATACTTTTTATGGTAAATGGCTTATATTAAAATTAAAATGTTGAGAATGAGCGAGCATACATGATGACATGAGAGATACCCCAAACTGATCACAAGCACTAGGATTAAAATTAAAGGCAATCACCAACAAAGGAGCAGCCTCGTTAAACACAAAACGGGACACAGTAAGGGAGTGTTTGCAATTGCTTAAAAAAGTGATTTTTTAAAGTGATTTTGGGAAAAGTGATTAATAGTAAAAGTTGGTAGTGTTTGAGAAAAAAGTGATTCTGAAAAAGTAAAAGTTGGTAATGTTTGGTAAAATAAGTACTTTTTGTGTAATAGAAAAAGTGAAAAGCAGTTTAAAGCACCCTTCCACCTGCTTCCAGCTTTTAGCTTTTAAGTGATTAATTTAAGCAGAAGCTGTCATTTGAAAACACTCTTTTTAGCTTTTTTTAAGCCAAAAGCTGAAAAACGCTTTTTTTAAGCAACCGCAAACACTGCTTAAGTCTATGGCCCTATAGTGATCAAATTAACATCTATATCACCAAATTAAACTCCAACCTGGACCCTCACTACTACCTCAACTAAAACCAACTCAAAGCCAAGCACAGACTTCCAAAAACAAAACAGAAACAATTATGCAAACTTAAATAGAATATAACAAAAAAACTAAAAACAAAGAGAAAATTCCCGAAATATGATTAAAAACGTTTGGGAATTCCAAAATATGAGTGCTATGTTTTTCTTTCAAAAATAGGAATACGTTACTGCCATACTGAAAATTTACTGCCATGTTTTGGCATTACAGGGCTTTAAACATGGCAGAATACTGCCATGAGTGGTAGGACTTGCAAGCTTGGAAGTAACTATTCTTATTTAGGGGATAAAAACATAGCACTCGTATTATGGAATTCCAAACATCCTTACTCCAATTTAGGGCAATTTCTTATAAACAAACGATACAGAAACCAAACAGATATCAATACTTGTTAACAGGGAATTATATTTCCGATGATAACAGTAAAGATATGAAGTTTATGTTTTGAACTCTTGAAGCAACCTGCTTTTCAGTCGGATTCCAGATGGTAATTAAGCCTTCTCTTGGGGAATTTTTTTGTCGACTACTTTTGCGGATTAACCCAACAACTCTAACTCGCATAAATGGAGTGACATCTCTTGTTGTTGTGAGACCAGCAGCTTCCAGAGCTGTGTCGAGAGATCTTTGTATATGATACTGTTTCTTGGCCTGCCAACAAAAATCACACCCTAAGCAACAAACATCCGTCTCGCAACAGAACAGCAATCAGTCGAATAAAAAGTAATAACTCACCTCTAATTTAGCTTGATAACAAGAAAATGAGTTAAGCTGCTCTACACTCATTTCTGCCATAAGAATATCAGGTTCAGCTGCTGTCTCAAGTATCTTTAAGAGTTTGGCTCCTTCTTCACTTTCATAATCATTACCAATAATGATATCTATATTTTCCTTTTGAAACTCAGCAGCTACTCCCTCCGCAACATTACACCTTCTACTCCATTAAAGAAATGATTCTTATATCAATTGAAATTTTCAAAATTAACGAATAAGATAACCTCTGAGGGGGAACTATGAAGCACTCTGAGGTGTTAGTGTGTTATTATGTAATCAAGAGGTCACAAGTTGACAAGAGAAGGCTTGCCTCCTAATCTCCTATACACTATAGTGGTGGGACCCTTCACCGGACCTCACCTTGCGGGGACACCAATGTGTATCTGGCTGCCCTTACCATAAAAGGTACTCCCTCGATCCTATGAGAGTCCTCTTTCAATAACTTATTTTGTCCCTCCAAACAAAGGTAATGTTCCGCGAACTCCTTTTGCTCCCAAAAATAGACTGATTTAACTTTTATTTTTAAGTACAATTCCTGTAAAGCCAAATGGGAAGGGCTTTACCCAAGTACTCCAAACAAGCTTGGGAATTAGTACTTGTGGTATAAATGTCCGTTCATAACTTTTCAATGCATATAGCTTGATTGAGTTCACTAAAAATAAAAAATGTACCTCACTTGGAAAGTCTTTTAGGTGACACTCATATTTTCCCTAAAATATGAGTAAATTACCGCCATCCCAAAATCACATTGTAATATTTCACCATTGCAATGTGCACTAATATAGCAGTATTAATATCATAACTGGCAGTATTTTCCAAGCATAACACTGTGTCCCTAATTACTCCTGCTTAGGGGAAAACATATTGCTCCAATTTTGGAATTTCAAAATGTTTTTACTCCTATGTAGGACGATTTCTGTGAAAAGTAATCTCATTCTCGTTTTATTTTTAGCATACATGCGAGCATTACAATATTTCTTGCAGATGAGCACTCAAACTCCCCGCAAGGGAGTTTCAAACAAAAGCTGGTGCAGATGAACATTACGGTTTTGCTTACAGAAAACTCTGCAGCCAAGATAAAGAGTGTAGCTCAAGAAAAGCACATAATGAATAAACAATACAGAATCTCAAAACAAAAGTTCACATATTAGTATAATATGCAATGCATGTATCACGTCCTGCATAAATAAATAAATAAAAACTCTATATACCTTTGGTTATATTGTTCTATTGCTTTAGCTTCCATTCTTTCATTCCTCACCATGTATCCTCCATTACTTAATCTAAGTAATCACAAGCACTAGTCAAGCTCTGTTCGATACACGAAAGTGTATCACAGTATGAAAGAATGCAGAGCTACCTTTCTCTGTACAGAACGGGGTAAATCTTTGTAACACCAACCAGTGTGATAGGGACAGCACCTCCTGCACCTTTGATGGAATTAAATGCTAAAGGAACACCTATGTCCTTGCCTGTTATGAGATAGAAAGTGAATTTTCAGTAAATGAAAGATATTGCTCTTATAGTTGCAGGAGTAATAGTACTATGTATCATAGCCCATGATTAATTGCTTACAAAATCCCAAGCGGTCTGCCCAATGTGCTCTGTATGTCCCATTTATATGCAATGTTAAACTAGGTTCCTTTGAGGCCTGAAGTTAAAGAGAACACTAAGTGTAAGAAATTCTAAATAAATAATAAATAAAATAATTGAACAACCCAATTGGATCAAATTCAAGATGTGATAACCTCAAGAGGTGAAACAGGCCCCGTCCAGCCACATAGGCCAGCTCCCCAGATCTTTAGATCACAAATATGCAATATTGTAAGCAAAATAAAACATCAGAAATGCTAGCATGTGTGCATAAAGAATTTGTATATAAAATAACGACGGGAATGTGTGTGATACCCTGAGTTTTTGGCCTAAAAACAGTTTTTTGGCAGCTAACTTTTTCGAAAGCTCTCCATCTAAAACAGCAGTAATTGAATACCTGTTACAGGAAAACATGAGCATTCAAGCAGTGAAAAATATCATACCAACAGATACCATCTCACATACCACCCATCAGTTAGCTCTATTTTTGAAGCAGAGTTTATAGTAATCCCTGTAGATGAAATAGGTCGATCTTGAAGTCTATTTTTGGTGTCATAAACTGGACCAATGGAAGAAATGCACAACACCATCATCAATGATGATGGTGCATCGCCTTCTAGAACTCTTTTGATTGCAGATCGATGGCCATAATGTACTTCCCTCTCATATCTGCACAAAAGGAAATGAACAAACAACTACTTACACCTGGAAGTAATAGAATATAGAGATTTCAAATGTTAATAATGGATACCTATACTTCAACTCTTCCAGCACATTAGAGACTGTCAGAAGTTTCCCAGAAAATTTGGCGGGAAAGCATCTTTCATAAGATGCGAGTTTCCAAACAATCCACTTGTAGTGATTTGCAACCCACCTACAGGAATAGAGGAGGCAAAGTAGCTAACTGGTAAAATATTTGAACAAAAAATTAACAAGATACATTTTGCCAATTAGTGTCTTATGTTCCTATCTATGGAAATGTAAGGCTCGGTTGTTGTTGTTGTTGTGTCTTATGTTCCTATCTATAGAGATGTAAACCCTCAATGCAGTAGGATACAAATAAGCCAAAGCATTCCTGCAAGTATACTAAGATGTAGAAACCTACATTTATGACAATTAGAAACGAATGCATGCAGATTGCAGATGAGTTCATATTGTGCATTTGTGCACCATTATTTAAACAGCCCGCTCATGGAGAATGTGAACAATTATTATCCCACCTAAACACATGATCAAAAGCTAAAGTGGATTGTTCAGTGCAAAATTCAATTATTAAACCCAAAAACAGTGCATGCCATTACATTTTAGAAAAGTACTGATGTGAAGCTCCACAGTGAGATAGCATTAGGAAAAAAGCATCTGCTCCCAGACTGGTAGAGCCATGTTCATCATGGAACAGGTATGACTCAGCTGTTTCTGGACTCATTCTTCTCACCTGATCTCCAACATTTACTAGCTAGATTTATGACAACGGGAAGTATTAGCAGTGTGAATAAATAGTACGGAGTAGAAAATAATTCCTTATTGAATAAGTATTAATGTTTTTTGAGAAAAAAAAAATTAGAATTAGAGTTAATGGCACCTTGCTTTGGAATCTTGGGGGCTCTCCAAGGTATTCCTCCATATACAAACGTGAAGCCTCAAATGGGTACCAGTCTGAAACTCTTCCTTTAAATGTTGATTCCTTTGGTGCTAAATTTGACATCCCTAGTAGAGATGCATACAATTACATAAGTAAGATCCATATAGCACGAGGATTGACTAAATGTCCAGATTGTACTATGATCTACCATTATGAATGACTGGCATATTCTTGTTCAGAGGTGGAGTAAATTTTTCCAAGCGAGGCCTCCTGAAAGGAGAAACAAAGCAATTTCCAAGTCTTCTCTTCTCAGTAATCTTCTGCGTGCCATCTGGACGTCCAACAGCAGTAGTGTTTGAGATGTCAGTTAGTACCCCAATTGATGATGTTCGAAGTGATGTTTGAGGTGATGTGTGACTTGAATAGATATCTTTTTCATTATAACTCGGAGGCAACATATTGGATTTCTGTTGTAAAAGGTTTTGACAACAATGAATAGCATTATGTGACTCGTTTGCACCATCATTTGCCACTGCATCAAAATGCTTGATTAAGTTGTTTGCTGGATGGATATTATCGAGCTTCACGGTCAACTGCCTTTTCTGTAGAGTAGACTTCAGGGGAGATGTAAACCTTCCAGAATAACTTACACTGTGTGTTGACCGTTGATGCGATGGAGTACAAGACTGACGTTTAATAGTTGAAAGGTTACAGTTGGATTTTCTTTCATCAGAAAATGAAAACATAGGAGAAGCTGAATCTTTATCCTCTAGAGCACAGCTATCCTCTGGATCTCCAAGCAGTTTTTTTGCTCGACTCAATGCACTACTAGAAACAGAAATTGATCTCCCACCAGCTGTTTGAAACTTAATCGGATGTGGTTTAGGTGCAGAGTGCAAATAATCTGGAATATCCCCATCTGAAAATATTCTGACAAATTAACATTTATTTGTAAGGGGATAGTCAAGTTACTGAAGCGTCAGAAAATTTAATGATAGCTATACCAGTATTCTTTCGTAAAGGAGATGAACATTGCCATTCATAAGGCTCGTCATAATAATTTGACTGTTTGTTTGTCTGCTCGAAGTCTTGAAACCTCTCTGTTTCATTCAAGTTCAACAACTTTCTGGCTCTTACAAGCCCTGCTGGAGATATAGTGACAGCTTTACCGGACCCTGTTTGAAACAATGACAACGAAGTATTTACTGATTTCCCTGCACCATTTTGAAAAGCATGTTTATAACGATTGATTGCATTATCTGAGTCTGTGTGGGGCATGAAATTCAGAGAACCAGTCCCACTGTCTCTACCACTGCATTCTCCTGCAAGGAAAGCATAGTCTCAATATTAACTTCATGCCCTGCATAGCTAAGATAGTTCAGCTTTATAGCAAATGCTGGAATGCAAGACAGCAATGTTATATTCAAATCTTCAACATCCTCATGTTTTTTCTTATTAGGCATATATATGTTCTAGTTATTTCAATTTTCAGGCACTTCAGCTTTCAGTGAGTTTGATGGTATCGTATACATTACGATAGGCCAGCTGGGATTTTTCTTGAAAGCTAGACATACTGACTTTTTGAACTTAAAGCTAACAATTTCCCACCAATACTCTCATTTCTGGGGAAGGGTGTAAAAATATGAATAAATGAATAGATAATGCTCCATAGTCAGTAAAATTGCAGAAGAATTTTGGCATCAATACCAAATACTGCGGTGCGTCCATCCTGGACAACAGATGCTGCTTTGTCTAGAGAAGTCTGCTTCACTTCCATGGACTTCCCCAATTCTTCTCGGAATGTGAAAGCCTTCTCTGAGCATCGTGTAATAAGAACATAATACATGCGTAAGGAATTGGAACATGTGATTCAGTTTGTTTTGAAGGGGTGGAGTTTAAAATGGCAAGCAGTACCTTGACGGTGCAAGATATCAGACATTGAGGGAAGGCGCTGAGAGTCCGGAGGGGGAAGCGGAGCAAGGACACAGCTAGATGGCTTTTGGTCGGACAATTTCCACCGGAAGGTGTTCTCCCCATCGGAATGAATCTGCCACGTCGGCATCTCGCCACGGCGCCTAGGGTTCCGAAACCGAGGATTGTGCGCATTCACTGACGCTCGACAGGCTGACCTTGGAGCGATGTTCTTTTCATTTTTCTGCGTTACGCTCCATAGCATTTTTTAGGCGGGACATTTCGAAGAGGCGAAGCGCCACATCTCCCTTTTGTGCCTACTTTATAAAGTAAAATTTCTACATAAACTCAAAACAGGTTCGGGCCCAAATTTTGTAAACTTTCTGCCCATTATGTGTCGGCCGGCCTGACTTGGACCTAATTTCATGTCCATATCCGCCCATAAGAGCGGGTCGGGTAATCCGTCAGACCTCCAGCCCAGAAAAACTTTAATTTTTCAAAATTATATAATTTGTTTTAATACTTTTAAAATAATATTATGACATTTAAAAAAAATATTAATATGCTTATAAGGTTTATAGGCCTTTCATTCATATACCAAAAAACAATTACACAAAAATAATCATGAAAACCCGGATTCGACCCGACCCGCATTCCACCCCGGCTTTTTATCAACCTAGTAGTGTATCTAGGCCCATTAAAAAAATCTAATGACTAGCCCAATCCGTAGAAAGGAGAAAAGCCGGTGGCTCGTAATTCCTCATCCGACGAGCTTTGTACGGAATTGGGATAATTAACTCTTCAACAATACAACCCTAGCAGTCGCAATATGTCATAGTGGTGAAACTACAACCTTAGCAATCGCACAGCAGCGCATCTTCATCGTCTAGCCCGACGTGACGACGCATTAGCAGCTCAGCAAAGCTCGTATTACGGTCAACAATTAATTACTCCCTCCGCCTCATTTTACATGTCTTACTTTACTTTTTGGGTTGTCCCACAATAAGTGTCACCTTTCCCTTTTTCGAAAGAAACATGTGGTTCACAACATTTCATTTTATTATACTCAAATCTCAACCACATTTTTTACTTTTTCAATCACTTTATTAAAAATTGTGCCAAAAACAAAAGAGATAGGAAAAGTTATAAGGTAGATTCTATGATGCCCAAAAGGTATCGCACCTTTGTCCACATGACCAATCAGAATGTTGCAGTTGAATTACTATTTAAGTCTAAATTAAAATTGAAATTGATATACCTATGTGGATCAATCAAGTGAATGGTAAGTACCGTATCCAATTTTTTAAGGTAGTTTCTATGGTACCCTTAAGGTACCATACCTTTGTCCACATGGACCAATGAAAAGATAGAAGTTGAATTATTTAAATCTAAATTAAAATTGATAAACTGATGTGGTCCAATCAAATGAATGCTAGGTACGGTACTCCTGTTTTTAGAAAGGTACGGGAGTTGTCATTTTTAAATGAGCAGCTGAGTTCTCATCTAAATTTTAGCGGGTAAAGATATATCCTTCGACACAACCCCGCCGTTGCTACTTGTACCGACCCGAACTGGGTGGATGATAGCCAATGATACAAGTACTGAAGATACGATTGTGCAGCTCCTTCAGCGTCAGAAAGTATAACCCTATGTTTTAATATTACGCGTATCATTGAATTCACCGGAATCGTTACATACGGTTTCTTCTATACTTTGTTATTTGTTCTATCTTTTGAACTTTAGGAAATTTTAGCTCCTGTTTTTAGTGTTTCTGACGTTTCGAAGAACCGGGGATTTGAGGCACTGCTCTCTGTAAAATCTAGAACAATGGCACCTCAAAGACGGATTTCGTGCTCCCCCGCCACCTCAAACCTGTGCGAATCTGTGAATGTTGGACCTTCTCAGCACTGGAAGGCCACTAACAAGGTGATAAGCTTTTTATGATAAGGTTTTAGTTTAGTTTTGCAATATTATACGTACCTGTTTGTAATATGTACTTGTAGTAATTTGTTACTCATTGTTTCTTCCAAATATAGGAGACTGCTGCTGAGAGTGGTGAAACTGAGTTGGAGGCTAACGTGGAGAAAATGACTGTTCGACAACTCAGGTTAAATCTTAGGTAAATGCTCTTACAGGAAATCAGGAACAATAGGGTTTCAATCACAATCTACCTTGTACCAGAAAGGCAGAAAATGCGTGTATATAAACAAATATGCGCACACTTATGCCATTTTGGGACTAGTTTGAGCCATTAAAAATTGGTGAAACCTTTTTAAAAAACTCAACTGTTAAAATTAATCCGCTGAACACTATACGGCTGGCCTTAAAGGATTTGTAATTAGTTAATGAATAACATTTTCTCAATGGTTCAGTGAACTTATTTTTAATAGAACCATTAACAAGGAATAGGAACCAAAGTTCCGAACCGTAAAAAGTAATAATCCAAGTGTAAGATCTGAACCAAGTTATAAAGATTAGTTTCTAATCAGTTCCCCAATTCCCAGCTCCATACCTTGCTTGGTTATATTGAATGGCCCACAATTATACGTCCCTTAAAAGTTAAAACTTTGCCAAGTTTGACCGGCACGTGGATTAATAAAGTAAAAACTGTGTGGTTGAGGTTTGTGCAGAGGAGAGAGAATTATCCGGAATCACAAATTCTTTACTTGAATTAAGGGACGGAGGGAGTATGTATTATACTTTTTTTAATATGTGTGTCATGTCCCTTGACTTAAACTCGATGGGACGGAGAATTTAATATTTATTTATTTGCAAATACTACTAAGTTATATCAATATGTTATGTTTTTTAATCAATCAACGCAGAGTTTTCACTTTGTTTTCCCTATTTTTCGCTAAATTGGTTCAGTTTGAGTCAATTTTCCGAAGTGCTAAACAACCCTCAGGTGCCAGACCTTGGCATAGTGCACTAACAAATAGTTGGCGGAAGCATACACAAGATATTAAATAAGCGGACTAAGAACACAACAATTTGGGATTATCACATTGAGATGGGTGTATCAAATGTTTTTGGGATTATCAGGCTACCTAACCATTTTCAGTTTTATAGCATCAAATTTGAGACTATCATCTAAATTTGGAATGCGCAGGAGTGCTGGATTGTCTACTCGAGGGTGCAAGCATGAGCTTGTATCGGCCTTCAAGAGTTTCCTAAATGACACACACAATGGTATCCTTTAATATTTAATACTACATATAATATGTTTTATGTAGCCACAAGACACAACGGCGGAATTTATCCCGAATTTTGGGTGTTCAGATCAAAATTATCTTGCTATTAAAAATCTAATTAAATTTATTTTCTATGAAATAATACTACACGTACATCCTTTCAACAACAAAAATTAGCAAATGAAGTTAAAATCAAGAAATATCATACAATTAAAGTGCACAAATTATTAAATCAATTCTACACATATATTCCCCGTCCCATTTGATAAGATACACTTTCCTTTTTGGGTTGTTCTAAAAATCGGAACACTTTCTTAAATTGGACTCCACTAACTTCTTACTTTCCCACTTTACCCCTTTATCTATCTTTTCAGCCTTTACTTTTTGTGCACCCATTTTTTCTTTTTTTCTTTTTGGAAGTTAGAATTGTAAAAACAAACACTTTATCTTTTAGTTTCTTAAAATCCGCACAAACTCATATGCATCTTACATTATGGGACGGAGGTAGTTTATTTATACTTGGGACCTTTATAGTTCTATTTTATATTTCTGTGTGTTTGCATGAACACTCCGGAACCAATATAAGTCCGCCACTGACAGGAGAGATCTGAGTTTTCATCCTCAATCATTTGTTGTACTATCATATAGAGTTATAGACAATATATGTAAGACTCACATCTAACTCACTGCATGGAATCCAGGCAATGGATCTTTGGCAGTGGAAGCATTGGAAAGTAAGGTTTCTTCTGAAGAGAACCGTGCAGATATTGTCCAAAACACTTCAAGGAAGAACCTCAAAAGAATCTCAACTAAAGTTGTTGAAAGGTTAAATCTTGCCTATGAAGCTCCTCAAATTAAGAGAGCTAAGAGAAGAGTGAAGCACGATTGTCATGAGGGAGAACATATTGATATTAATGGAGAGCAACAAAGAAAGGGGCAAGATTTCTTGGTTGAGTCCAATGTGGTGGAAGGTGCTTATACAATTTATAAATCTTTTTGATCTCATGTATAGTCTATTTTTCGTGCATGCATGCATTGCTCGCTCACTTGACCCCACACACAGCTGATTCACACTGTGGGGCAGTGTATTGCACTTGATTGGGAGTGAAGAGTAGAAAAACCATATATTAGAAATTAGGAAAGCTTTTATTGGTCACTCAAAAAAATGCAAACATAGACGGACTAAAATGAGCTTCCGACAAAACTCCCAAGAGGTTGGAGCTAGAAATTCAACACAAGGGAGCCTAACTTTTGTAAAATGCAATTATAAATGTTATAGTAATTCTCTACTAAAAAGTAAAAACATGTTATTGACAAAAAATAGATGTTCATATAATATAATAAATCACATATATTGCTTATGTAGCTATGTAGGGAGGAATCTCAAAATGGGATAAGAGAATGGGGAAAGTCAAACTTACATAGCTTCAGGCAATGCAAATATTCAAAATGCATGTTTTTTGTTCATTAAAAGTATGAGAGATATCAATGTCCACAACTTACATAAGTAAATGTAATTCAAACACACCAAAAATTGTGTTTTAAAAAAATAAAGATATACAATGTCTAAGAGAGTATCAACTTTAACTAGAATTTGACTATGATTAACATACAACTTGAATGATGGGAAAGATAAAAGCGCAATCAATATAATTCATAATATATATAGTTCATTAAGAAGATACATTAGTAGATTAAGCAATACCAAACTAATATTGAATTATAAATTTTATAATAAGTTATATTATATGATAATTTCATATAAATGTGGACTTTATTTTTTATAAGTCTTGTGTTTTTGTACAATTTCTTAAAGGGATCCATACTATGTATTTTAATTTTACCTTCGTCTGAAAGAAGTTCCCGGATTCCTTTTTTGGATTTCTCAAAATGAAGTTCCCATTTCTATAAAAGGAGATTTTTTAATTGCAAATGTCACAACTACCCTTACTTCTTGCCTACTTTTTGCTTGATTTGACATAAAGTACGAGTATACTTAGAAAGCCAAAACAATGTTTTATCTAAGTCAAAGTGGGAACTTCTTTGCGGGGCGGAGGAGTAATATATACATAGTAGTATTTATACAAAGAAAATTGGGTTGAGAGGCCTTTGCCCCATCCATTATAAGCATAGATCTGCCATTGATCTATGCTATTCCTTATCAAAATCCTCCTTCCTCCTTTCTCTAAGAGGATTTCAACATACATTCTTGAAGCGTGAAATATAGAAATTAATAGGTTATTATCAACAAAAATTAACAAGATGCCTAAAATCATCCTAAGAAGATCAACATCTATGTAGCAAGATTCTCAATTTGGTCCCTAATTTCTGTGATTTAGCTTTCCTTGTTTGCTATCATTGCTGCCTGCTTCAAATCTGCCTTGTCCCCAAGCCTGGAAGCTGAGATTTACCCGAGAATTGTAAGACACTAAGACATCAACCTGTGTGTTCTTTATCCACTTGCCCCTATCAAATTACTTGAAGTAGGTTGCTTCATGTTTGTGTTGGATAAGTAATACCTAACCAAATTGCAGGGACGTTCATAATGCACAGGTGATAGTTGGTTGTCTTAAACGCCTATTTCTTCCTTCTACCTTTTCATAATGTATGATATTTGGTTGTCTCTGACTGCCTATTTCTTACTTCAACCGTTCTCTATAATGTGGGGTTAGTTGTAGAGGTGGTGGTGAAGGTTCTAATTCATTTTTAGAGGGGATAGTAACCTTAGCATTGGGCAGGGGTGTGGGCTGTAGTCTGGTAGCGTTGAGGTTGGAGGCATTGATGGCAATAGCTGTAGTGGCGGTGGTTGAGGTGTCGATGGTGGATCCGCGAAAGCATTTTTTTTGTATCAGCAAAATTTATGTTTAAGTGAAACATCTACTGTAGAAGTTCTGATCGTGAAATGCATGTTTTGCTTTCTTGCATCTAAATTAAAATCAATCCATATCAAGAATTGAAATGTTATGAAATCGTCTTTTAATATTCAAGGTATTGCTAACTTGCTAAGGACTTCTCATAGAAAAAAGCTCATAATCTCATATGGTACAAAATCATCTACCAGATGTCTAAGTGATATGCATGGATACCAATGTAACTCAATCCACTCCTGTTGGGTAAAATGTGATCTTTTTGATTGATTTTATGGGCAGAAAATTTCATTTATTTGCCTCTTCTCCCTAAAAAACTCAATGTAGTGGGAGGGGGAGGGCATAGAGTGGCAGCTAGGACCAAATGATAGGGAGTCAAGGGTAGAGAGAACATGTACTAAGAAATAACAGAGATTTTATTGGCGGGGGGGGGACCGGAAAAAATAAGAACAAAATAAAGATTCCAATAAACCTGCCCCAAGCCCCACACCATTTTCCCCCCGCAGGGCGTTTGCACGCGGCCGGTCCCCACCCCTATTGCCCTCCCTAGTCTCTTGAAAAATAAAATAAGGGCAAGTAATAAATTAAATATCAAATATAGATTGATAAGATCCGTAAAACCATGTTCAGTAGATCTAAAAATCCATGCTAATAAGCTCCCTGATTGCCCCCAAATTTATGTGATTAACTTTCTTGCTTGCTGTCAACACTGTCAGTTAAAAAAGGTTAAAAGTAAATCCTACCATCTATCTAGAGTATCTACACCACATAAAATTTAATGCGATGGCGAGTAGAATATAAGCGTTTACTTCTACAATGTATTCATTATCAATTTTCAAACATCTAGGTAAGGGGAAGGAACAATTGAAAAGAAATGTCTTCTTTCAGAGTGTTAATCTTACCGCAAATCATGATGAACCTTGGACAATTTTCGCTCACAAGAAGCCAAAGGATGGGTGGATTGCATACAATCCCAAAACTCTGAGGCCGCCTCCACTTACTGGTACCGCTAAAGCATTGAAGTTAATTTCTTGGAATGTTAATGGTTTGAGAGGCTTACTGAAGTTGGACAGCGTTTGCATAAAGCAACTTGCACAGAGAGAAGAATTTGATGTTCTATGCTTGCAGGAGACTAAATTGCAGGCTAGTTGTACTCTGCCTAGTATTTAACAGTTCCTTGCGTATTAATTGTCTATGCTTTGGTTTATTGCATATGCCCTTACAGCCTTACTTTCCTGGGAACTTATGTTTCTGCGATAGTTTTATAAGTGTAAATGTGTTTTAAAATAGAATTCAGATTATCTTCTTAGTTTATTTCAAAAAATAGAAGTATAATTTACAGTTGTCCGTAGTCCTAGGCTGTAATTTAAAGCTAGACAAAGTTGACAAAATGTTATGTTTTGTTTATCCAATGGTGGTAACAATTGTAATGTTATCATGGTATTTTAAGTTTGACTGTAATTTGCTGACTTATTCTCTAAAATTTATGTGCCATGATGAAATAACATTTGATTATTGAATTCTGAGTTGCAAGTGTCATGGTGGAATCAGTCTCCAAGGTAACAGAGACTAATTCTGTCATAATGGTGACATCTTAAAATATAAGAGTCATGCATAAAGCTTTAAAGGATCGTCATTTTGATTGTGTTCTATGAATAACCGAATGGATAACAAGTTTAAGTAACCTTGAAAACATAGTGTTTTGAGTGTTATAGATCAAAGTTAACACTTTTTCACCCCAGCACTAGTTTCTCCATAAAAGAGACTCATTGCAATGTGATGACATGAATACATGAGGGATATATCTGACTATATCGCCACATTTGGAGGACCAGAACTTCCAATTTGTTTATATTTTTCTAACCTCTCCCTATTGTATAATTATCTAAGTCCAACTCTGATAAAAAGTCAAGAGGCTCAAGAAAATAAAGTGAATTTATTATATTTAATGAGAAAAAGGAAATAAGTGTTTCAGGAAACATTCCAAAAGCCTCTAAAGGGTACTTCTTGCATCCCACGAATGGTTGATTTTTTATTCTAAACTCCTGTCTATTTTCTAATGAGAATGCCTAATTTACAAGTCATCATCATCATCACCCTAGTGCCGTAAAGGCTCCCACCTATAGTGGGGTAGGGGGGGTCGGATGTACGCAGTCTTACCCCTGTACTAAAACACAAAGAGACTGTTTCCGGATGACTCATAGTGAAATTTGTTAGGAATTTAATTCACGTACACGAAAAACAATAACAAAGAACACGCGAAATTTGGTAACCCAGTTCGACACGAATGACTACGTCTGGGGGCGCTACCAAGCCAGGAATATTATTGCTATTTTCGGATCCACACACAATGATTACAAGGGAGAGAGCTTGTATTTAACTATTTATAGAGAAGTAAATCATAACCCCAAGGCAACTAGGATGCATTTCCTAAAATAAATTAAGAAACATGTTTCCAAAAATAAATTAAGAAACTGTATCTAACACCTTACAATCTCCCACCTAGAGACTGTCTTTTTCAAACCACCCTTGTAAGCATGGTAGCGCCGGCCTTCATCTTCAAGTACTCAGGCCAATTGAAGCTATGCAAAGCTTCAATTTTTCCAAGGTTACCATCTTAGTAAACATGTCTGCTGGATTCTCACTCCCCCGGATCTTCACAAGCTGAAATGCCTCTATCTCCAGAAAATGACGGATGTAGTGATACTTCAACCGAATGTGTTTGGTTCTCTTGTGAAAAGCTGAGTTGTTGGCCAAGAAGATAGCACTTTGACGGTCACTGTAAAGAATGCTATTCTTGTACTCCTTCCCAAGTTCCCCAAGTAAATTCTGAAGCCACACAATCTCCTTACTTGCCTTCGTAATGGCCACATATTCAGCTTCAGTGGTAGATAATGCAACAATCTTTTGCAGCTGCGAAAGTCAGGAAACTGCCGTTCCACCAAATGTAAAAACATACCCGGTGGTGCTCCTCGATCCATCCGAGTCATTCGATGCCAGGTCTGCATCAACATGTCCCAGCAGCTCTACATTCTTCCCATCAAAACACAAAGCATTAGAAGCAGTACCTTTCAAATACCTCATGATCCACTTCACAGCTTCCCAATGTTCTTTCCCGGGGTCTCCCATGAATCTGCTCATTACTCCCACCGCATGTGCAATGTCTGGCCTTGTGCACACCATCACGTACATTATGCTGCCAATTGCTGATGTGTATGGAACATTCTGCATTTGAGTACACTCCTCTTTGTTCTTCGGTGAGTCTTCCTTGCTAAGCTTGAAGTGACTACCCAACGGTACACTTGCTGCCTTTGCATCTTGCATTCTGAATCTTTCCAAGGCCTTCTGAATGTATTCTGCCTGTGAAAGATACAATCTGCCCGCTGCTTCATCCCTCTCGATTCGCATGCCCAAAATCTGCTTTGCTTCTCCAAGATCCTTCATGTAAAAACGTTCTGACAACTGTTTCTTTAGCTTCTCAATCTCCCTTGAACTAGCTTCTGCAATCAACATGTCATCTACATATAATAACAAGATAAGATAACATTTCTCGGTCTTGTTGTAGTAGCAGCAATTGTTGTTGTGACATTTGAAGAAACTGATTTCACGCATGAAACCATCAAATTTCTTGTACCACTGCTTCGGTGCTTGCTTCAACCCGTATAAGCTCTTCATTAGCTTACATACGAGATTCTCACTGTCTTCCGCCACATAGCCCTCCGGTTGCACCATGTAAATCTCATCATTCAGATCACCATGAAGGAATGCAGTCTTCACATCCATCTGATGTAACATCAAATTCTCTGCAACAACTAACCCCAACACTAAGCGAATAGTAGTAAGTTTCACAACTGAAGAGAATATGTCGGTGTAATCAATACCATAACGCTGCTAAAACCCCTTCACAACCAGCCTAGCTTTGTAGCGTTTGCTACCAACTGCCTCCTTCTTGATGCGGTAGACCCACTTGCAGTGCTAAGCCTTTTTTTCCTCTCGGTAGCTCAACTAACCTCCAAGTATCATTGGATGTGAGAGATGTCATCTCATCATCCATTGCAAGTTTCCACTTGCCTTTGTCATCAACCCCAACTGCCACTTGCCCAACGAACGTACACTTGACAGATTTAGCGTCTAGCTTGCTTCGGTCAACAGAACTGATATGAACATAAGCAACACAACCAAGTATGCAGAGATAGGACAGATTGACCTCCTTACCTGTCCAACCAAATTTGTGGCACTGTCGGCTCGGTCACATGACTTCTGTCCTTCTTGCCCTTGCTGTTTGACTTGGATTTGGATCTTGATCTATCCCGATTTGACTTGGACTTCGACTTCGTTCTGCCCCGGTTTTCTGTACTCAACGCCAATCCAGAAGCCAGGCCTGATTCCTTCCTGCGAATTTCTTCGCTGACCACCAGATTTCTGACTTCATCGAATTTCAGTTTCTCTTTCCCTGCTGAAGCGCTGAGTGCAGTCACCGTTCCGTTCCAGCTTTCTGGGACAGAAGATAGCAGAATAAGGGCATGAATTTCGTCGTCGAATTTTATCTCAACCGCGCTCAACTGTGTGGTGATCACATTGAACTCGTTGAGATGATCCACCACTCCAGTACCTTCTGACATCTTCAGGTTAAAAAGACGCCTCATCAGATGAACTTTGTTCACGGCGGATGGTTTTTCGTACATATCCGACAAAATCTGCAACATCTCCTTCGTCGTTTTTGCTTTGACGGTATATAGGGTGATGTTTCTGGACAGCGATAATCGAACCACGCTCATCGCTTTTCTGTCCAACAACTTCCAGTCGCTCTCCTTCATGTCTTCCGGCTTATCATCCACAGGTTGATACAGATCTCTACCGTACAGGTAATCTTCGATCTGCAACTTCCAGAAACCGAAATCAGTCCCATCAACGGTGTCTTCAAATTGTCTGCCATCGTGAGATCTTCCTTCGAACCCAGGGCTCTGATACCAATTGTTAGGAATTTAATTCACGCACATGAAAAACAATAACGAAGAACACGCGAAATTTGATAACCCAGTTCGCCACGAATGACTACGTCTGGGGGCGCTACCAAGACAGGAATATTATTGCTATTTTCGGATCCACACACAATGATTACAAGGGAGAGAGCTTGTATTTATAGAAGTAAATCCTAACCCCAAGGCAACAAGGATGCGTTTCCTAAAATAAATTAAGAAACGTGTTTCCAAAAATAAATTAAGAAAGTGTCTCTTACACCTTACAAAATTCTCATCGAAAATTACATGGTGAAAATTACATAGTGAAATTCACAGACAGTTTAGTGAGTCATTTTGCTTTATTCCATCATATTCCCAGACCAAAAAATAATGAGTCTTTGGCTCCATTGCAAATGATGAAATAAATGCCTAATTTACAAGTACTCAAAATTAATTTATTAAAGAAGGAAAACACAATTTCAAATCAATTAAGACTTCTTATCCCTCATGCGCCAATCCCAAATCAATAATGAATAATCTCTTTTAGGTACTTTCTTATTTGATAAATTCCAGATTTAGTGCTAAATTATACTCCCTCTATCCCAATTTGATTTCCAAAATTTCTTATTTAGGTTGCCCCAGAAGGCCAGAATTATTTTCCACTTTCTATTTTAGGTATGGAAATATGAATACAGTGACAAATTTTACCCTTGCTTTGTTGGAGATAGTGCCAAGTAGTCAAACATTGCAAATCGAATTGGATTGGAGGGAGTATTTCTTTGCGAATATCATTGTCACACACTTCAAAACAGAACTGTACACATGGCTGGAGAGTGGAGATTCAGCACCAAAGGCAGATATATCATGCATGATTTACCCCATTTTTGCTCTCTAGGTCATTGGGCAATCTTCATTTTGATCGGGAAAAAATCGGCAATGTGGAGGTCTCGGTGTAAGGCATCGTCGCAACAGAGTATCTGGAGGTCTGCAGATCATGGGATAATTTCATTAAGGGCAATATTGTCTAATCAGTAATTAAGAGTCTTATTTATGGAATAATAAACTTACAGTCCTATTTGTGCACTTTTACTATGTTTTAATCCCATTTAGAGAATTCTCTCGAATAATAATAGAACTATACTAAGTAGTGTGGTATGGTATAAATAAGGGTTCTGGGCCATGTAAGAATATAATTACTATAAGAGTGGGAAGGAGGGAATAAGGGATATGGGAGTGGCCTCTTGAAGCGTCTCATCTGTAATTTTCTTTACCGTTTGTGAACTCTTCCTTCTAAATAGATGTCAATTTACTGTTACGAATTTGGAGTCTCTATCAGGAAATGGTGTGGATTAACAGTATCTCCAAATTGTAAACTGATCTCAGTAGAGTGTACTGATGAGTACTCGGTGTAGTTTGTGGTTTCTTCTAGTTATCTCCTGCACACTGCACATACATTCATTTCATTTACAAGTTTCACATATCCATAGGGAATTTGTTGGATAGTGGGAGGTTTTGTTTAAATTCATGGGTTGAGTTTCTTTTGATTGAAGTTTTTATTGGGTGGAATTGAGGTTTCATGATATTTACCTGTGAATTAAAAAAGAAGCAATTTTTCATAATTTCATGCCGAAGCATTAGTGCATTAAGAAATATTTGGGGATTTAGCAACTACCCATCATTTAATTTGAAAACTTCGGATGCACACTTTTCCATCTTGTGAAGTTTATACAAGAACAAGTATAAATTCTTTGTCTTTCCAAATAATTGCAATGCTCTAAATGGTTACATATTAAATTTCTAAAAACAGGAGAAAGATGTTCAGATAATTAAGGAGAAGCTTCTTGATGGATATGATAATAGCTTTTGGACATGCAGTGTGTCTAAGCTTGGGTATTCTGGCACTGCTATAATTTCGCGGGTAACATTTTCTTTTTCCAGATCTCATGCACTTGTTAATGTAGAATATTATATTTTGATGTCTTATTCCGCAACTCTTTCTCCACTTGAAGGATTATTCCTAAGTGAAAATGTTGATTGATGTCATTCTATCCACTCCATTTCTAATTGTAGCACACAATATTATAAGTGCATCCATGTTATCACATGATTGCCATTAGGGTGTGCAAAAAAAACACATTGCAAGTGCGTGGTTCAAAGGCTGCAGTGAGGTTCAATATTTTATGATACCACATTTTGCGCTATGGTGTCATTTCTCTTATTTAGTCGTGGTTTGTAACCGACCCGCACGATTTATTTATCAAGGTAGTCAACATTGAGATTCTACATAAGATCAAAGGGTAGTGACTAGTGAGAGAGCGTAAATGTGGGATAGGTTCACTACTCTCTAAAGATCCTATACGAATTTATCTATATGCATGATTAACTTATAAGCTGTACGACTGATCCTGCTCAACACCTGAAATGGCTATAGTACTTGTGTAACAACATATGCAGTGAACCAAAGCTGGTGGTGTGGGTGTATGAATAGCTAGACCAACACCCAGGCTCATATTAAAGATACACATGCCCTGTATCGAAATGATGTTTCAAATGGTGCTTTGCTTGGGAATTGGGATAAATGGTAGGCACGGTTGATAGAAGCGCTTCATAGCTGAGAAGCTAACGCTCGCTGCCCTCCAGTTTAGTAGCCTCTAGAATATAGAAAAGAAGCTTGGACGGGTTACTGTCATAGACTAGGTGGAAAGTATTCCCCCGGAAGTAGTTGCAGGTTGTGTTATAGCAATATACCATCCCCGGACGACAGCAGACCAGTCCAAGGGGAACTCATTGCAAGACCTCTGTTTGGCCGTCGGTCTTAGGATAATAGGAAGACAAAGATGTGAGGTTGGTACCACATAATTGAAACTACGTATGCCAAAAGGAGCTCATATTTGTTTTTGTAACACGCACAATTGATTCCGGCCGGCCATGAAAGTGGAAATTGCAAAACAATTACACCATGTTTGCTTACAGGGCTGTGCATGGATTAACCAATGGAATGAAGTGAATCACTTTGGACAGACAGCCAGCTAAAACAAAAATAACAGACTTTCAGCTAACCATTGACTACCCCCAATGGAATCTCTGAAAAAATAGGCCAAAATATTGGGGAGTTGGAAGAGGCTGAAGCAGACTGGCAGTTTGTAAGTTTAGATGCTTTTGTTGTTGGTAAACTAGATCACTGAGCCATTGTGGCCTTCATGCCAGACCAACAAATTCCTTCCATAGACATGGACAGTCTTCTGATACGTCCATTTGCAACAATGTCAAAGGTCGACAATAAAGGTTGACTTTGTTCCTACACGCATGGCTTGTATAGATCTTCAGCGGCAGATCATCGCGGTATGCTGTATGCGTATTGGTGCCCAGTTCATCTGTGAGGATCTGCCGCTTAAGATTGACCATTATAGGTGTATTGGTCTGCTTGACATGAATCTGCCATAAAAGACGTACACAGAATTGCAAAATCTGAAATTTAGGCTTCTGAGGCATCTCGATGGAAGAGTGCGGCAGCCACTCTGTTGAAGTGTCCCAGTTTATTTTCAACTCGAGATTTGGTTCCCAATAATTTAATAGATTTTGTTGCGTCTAGGTGGTAAGACGTTGATCCATTTAATGTTTCAAATGAGAGCGGTCGGTCCTGATACTCTATTAGAAATGAAAACCTGCTAATCTGCTATTTCGGGAGTATGCGTGAACAGTACTTGCCTCCAGTCTCTTCCTTTAATAGCACCCAATCTAGCTCTGAGTATGCCTGATATAGTGTTGCTATGAGATTTGTCATGGACTCTGTTATCTGCGTTATGTTTTGGTTGTCTTCCATTCTCCATAGTTGCGATTAGGGCCATAGTGTGGTGTGGAAGGTCTAACCAATTTGTAGATAAAGTGGCACAAAGAAATACACTGATTTTATTGAAAAGTTAGTTGGAAAAGAAAAAACTGTAAGAGATCTTTAATTTTAAAGAAAGCTCTTTAAGAGACCCAAGGCAAATCTCCACGAGACCTGAAATTACTCTCGAGGAACGCCAAACTTGCTCAGCAGCCATTAAAATTTAGCACATTTCTTCTAACGGCACCTTACTATTTAAGTTAAGCTCTTCCATTTGTAAAAGGTAACAAAGACCAACTCATTAAAATAATGCCCCGTTTGTAAAAAAGTTGTCCTAATTTTTTTGGGACAGACATATTTATAAGAAAATAATGCCTACTGATTCAGTAAATTGCTGCCCAATAACTTCTTGCACTTTTGTTTTTCTTTCCATTGACAGCTTAAACCACTTTCTGTAATGTACGGTCTGGGTATCACAGATCATGATTCAGAAGGGAGACTTGTTACAGTGGAATTTGATGACTTATATTTATTGTGTGCATATGTTCCCAATTCTGGTGATGGCCTAAGGCGATTGGTAACGACTGGAATGTTATATCAGTTACTGTTTTAGTTTCTCCAGTTTTCAGAGAATTTGATATGTATGCTTCTTCTATGGCAGTCGTATAGATTCACACAGTGGGATCCTTCTCTTAGCAATTATATGAAAGTATGAATCCCTCAAACTCTTTTTTTTGCAATTTATCAACCCTACTTATTAATCTAAACAGTATGAGAGCAGGTCCCAACTAATTCACATTCTCACTATAATGTGTAATTTTGTACTTGCTAGTTTCTTCTATATCATTGTGTTGTTTATGTAATTTCTCTTCCCTCATACCATATCTTTTTGCTTTATTTGGAAATTGATATTATCTGTTCATGCTCAACCATTTTTCCCCGAGACCTTCGTTAATAACTTAAATAATTGTCTGTACATACTTATGATGATAGTTGTCTATTTGCAGGAATTAGAAAAGTCAAAACCTGTTATTTTGTGTGGTGATTTAAACTGTGCTCATGAAGAGATAGATATCTACAATCCGACAGTAAGTACTTCCTGAAATGAAGATGATAGTTGTTATTTTTACCAAATTAACCTTCTAAAAAAAGAAAAGGGTGCTATGGAAACAAAAAGAAAGTAAAAATTAGGAAAGTAAAAAGTTAGTAGAGTTCAAATGACTGAAGTATTCTTATATTTGGGCCATACAAAAAAGGATAGCTTTTCTTACAAAAAGGGACACATGGAATACTCTATTCTCTCCAATTTCATGTAAAAAGTTTGTTTGGTGCAATATATGCATGTTGTGATCAGCCTTTTGACTAAAAAATGATTGAATGCTTTTTATTCTAGAAATTGATAAAATATCATTAGGAATTCTATCTTCCTGATCACGTGCTGACATTTTTTCCAACACAACTCAACTCCATGAACTAGTTTGCTTGGTAGTCGCCCTATGTCATTTTGGTTCATTTTAACTGTCCTCTATATGCCCTCTATATAATAATTTGGTTTTTTGCTTCTTCTCAAGGGAAACAAAAGAAGTGCAGGATTTACAGACGAGGAAAGGCAATCATTCCAAAAGAACTTCTTAAACAGGGGATTTGTAGACACGTTTAGGAAACAACATCCTGGCATTGTTGGTTATACTTATTGGGGATATAGGCATGGAGGGCGTAAAAGTAATAAAGGTATAATTTTCCCGGTCCTTTTCTATCTACACATCCAGGTCTTGTTCTCATTTTCAATTTGTATTATTATTATTGAAAAACATCGAGGTATAATCGGCAAACTACAAAATTCCCAGAAATCCTCCAATAAAGCCTAATATTTAACGGTGTAAATGGCAATTTTAACAAAGAAGGGACTGGTTGTATCTAAATCTTTACAATTAAGAGACAGTGTAAAAAAAATGAAAGACATGTTCAAGTATACTTAACAAACAATTAAGGGGACTTAACACTTAAGTGTGATGCAATTCGAGGCGATCAATGACTGACAACTCTGTTACTTTCCACTTTCTCATCATTTTCTCTTCGTCTTTCTGACATGAGGGTATGCTCTTACAATTTGTAATTTATGCTTTGGGATGCATATAACAGGATGGAGGCTTGACTATTTCCTTGCATCTGAATCCATTGCAGACAACGTTCATGACTCGTACATTATCCCAGATGTTGCAGGAAGTGATCATTGTCCCATTGGACTTGTACTCAAGCTTTAGAAATGTGATCATATTACCCTGTTCTCCCATCCGTCCGTCCATCCGTCACCTGTGATGGATGGAATGATCTAAACCTGTTATTATGGAATGAAGGAATCAAACAGGAAGCCATGTAAGCAATACGGATTCTTGGTTGGTCCTGCTAGAGCCATTAGATTTTGTACAGATATATGGCTTTTCAATGGACGTCCTGATGTGGGGGGGTGGGGGGTGGGGGGGCTTGCCTAGATTGGCAGTATAAAGGTAGGTGTTGTTTATGCTTTTGTTGTTGTACCAAGCCTACAATACAATCTATCACCCCTATTTTGCCCTTAATAACACAGTTATACTCACACACGCAGTGGAAGACCTAGCGGTGGCATGGGGAGGGGGGGGCCTGCCGCCCTCGCTTCCGGTCCTGAAAATCATCTTTAGTACTTGGGTCATAGAATTATGCTCCTCATAGTCTGGTTGGACAACAATAGTTCTACGATGATTGTATAGATGCCCTACAAATTGCTAAAAGAAATGTCGTTGCACTTGAAGAAGAGAAGTGAATTATAATTCAAAACATGAAGTTCATTTTGATTTCGAGTATTGTCTAAATAGAACAATTCAAAATGATATATGCTGGTTTTGATTAAGGCTATTAACGAATTCAGACATTTAGAGCTCGACTATGACTTGTTTAGGTAATAGCGGTGTTTGAATTTGAGCTTGAAGCTCGATGAGCTCTACAAATGGGGTCTAGATTCGGTTCAATTGATGTTCGATGTTTTATTTGAGCACGCAATAGTTAAACTCAATAAGTATGTTTAAGTGTAGAGGTCTAATGTATGCTTGTTAATAGGTTTGTGCTCAAATTATTCAACAAATTCTTGAATCTTTAACAAAAGTAGTATTGAATAATGAACTCGAACACTGACTATAAAGAAAGCAATGAGTTCAATAATGGTGTTAAGGACTGATACTATTTTTCATAGGTCTAGGTTAACTCCTAAATATCAAGCAATTAAATGGCTTTGAAAAGGGTTTCATCACGGGCTTGTCACTGATTAGCATATTCTTGTCAAGCTCTCGCCAAAATATATGCAAGAGTGATTTTGTCATGAAAAATTAAGTGGTCATGAGAAAAAATATGGCATTTCGTGATAAATTGGCATCACTCTTGATTTTTACAGTGCAATAGAAAAAGGTTGATTTCTAAAGTTAGACTATTAAATGGTATAAAGTCAAAGCTCTAAAAATGCTAACGCTCCCTTATTTGCAGAGTTTTCATTTTAGCGATTTTGTCCAAAAATGCTAGGGTCGGATAGCTGTTTATCAAACAACGTTTTCATTTATTGAAAACACTAAAAGTGGTAAAATCAACATTTTTTGGGTGAAAAGGCATTTTCCAAACACCATAGTATGAAAAATAATTGGAACCCAAATTCAAAATTAGAAATGGTATAGGAATGATTCAGTTCTAATCCAAATTATGTTTTTGTTTCAAAAACTTGAAATTATTGTTTTGAATAATTTTAATGGTTGGAACTTTGAAACTCGATGTATAATTTGTAAATGTGTATCGCTTTAAATTTAAACTTATCAATCTATTCGTGGTTAAAGAATAATTTGCGCGGACTTAGACAAATCGACCAGTGCCAAGCTTAACATGTTCTTCCATGCGACTATCACGGTATCACCCTTCAGAAAGTTTTTGTCTGTCATTGTATACACGTGTCTGCACACAATTTCACTTTTGGATGTCTTTCTACGCATTTGTCAATATTGAAAGTTTTCTTTTTAATAACTTAATTCAATAATTCATCAATGTTTTCAACACGTCCAAGTTTTCCCAAAACTTCCATTCTTTTCTCGATGATCATCATGATACATCAATACTTTAATCTAGAGCCAGAGGTAAGGTAGGTGCACATTTGATCCCTCACCAAGTAAAAGCACACTTTTGAGTGGGGTTTAGGATGGTTTACTTACGCGCTCCTTTAAGTCACAAACTAGACTTAAATAGATCAAATCAAAGTAGATTTAAGCAGACTAGATCATATCAGACTTGTATAATTGTAAAATTACACATACACCAAATATTTATCATACTAGTTCAGACTAAATTCAAACAGATCAAACTAGAAAACTTCAGCGCAAGTAAAAATATCCTTACCGTTGTTAAGTTTAATTTTGGGAAAATTCCCTAAATAAGAGTAAAAGCAATGTAAAATTTTAAAACATGAGTATTATGTTTTTTTCCTTAGATATATTATGGTTATGCTATTGTGAAACATAGTCACATTTGTGCATTATTATGCTTTAAGTATGACAGTACAAATGTCATAATTGACATTATTTCCTAACTATGATAGTTTATGAATATATATAGAGTTCCTATTTTTTAGATTTTAAAATATTTTGACTCCTATTTAGGTTAAAAAAAACAATTTTCAGTTTTGCTTGTGAATATATGAATTACACAATCAAAAGATCACCATCTCTCGACAGAACATATTGTACAACCGATTGTACCGTACACACGGTACAATCGGGAAACCTTTGTTCAAAGAAATGTGTATAACGTTTAAACGAAATGAGTATTTGTATTAAATTATAACATTAGCACAATAAATATTTTGTTGATAATACAATGATAATATAGTTAAATAAATAAGTTGATTTATATAAATATGTAATTTCTTGATATGTGGTGGTACTCCTTGATATTTCTAGATTTCAGTTACATTTAATGTGTCATTCCGTCATTCCTATTTTAATATAGTTGGCATCATTATTGTGGAAGGGGTTTATAAATTGAGGCGTAGCTTTATTGAACAATATGTAGTGTTATGTGTTCCGGCTTCAGATAAATTACAATGATCGTGCTGTGCCAGCTGTGTCCACAACCACTGGAGCCTCGGCTTCAGAAAAGCTTTCCACGTGTTCGTCACCTTTTTGCCCTATCACATCAATAGCTTGATGATTTTTTCCTGTGAATGCAAAAGGCAATAAAATAAGCTATGAATTTGCCAAAACTCGTTGATTATGACACATTTTGTAAGCAAAATGTTGTAGCTACACACCTTTTGTACACAAATGATTTACACCATGTCACCATTAATAAGTGTCTGTTTACAAGCCAGATTTTGAATGAATTGCATGAATAGACAGACAACTAGGGGTACGCCATATGTGTACAAAATGTGTGTACACCGATCATTGTTCATTTCGTAATCTTAAAGTGAATGCCGAGTATATCAAACATGTGTACATCATACCATAAGTTTTAAGAATGTTTTTTTTTTGGACAAAACTTAACTCGTGTTTTGAGTGGAATCACATGAGCTGTTCTACGACCTTAAGCTCGATCTTAGCCCAAAACACATCATCACATGAGTTGTTCTACGACCTTAAGCTCGATCTTAGCCCAAAACACATCATCACATGAGTTGTTCTACGACCTTAAGCTCGATCTTAGCCCAAAACACATCATCTCACTTTTGGGTATGTTGGAAGGAGGTGAGATGAAATAAAATTTGATAGGTATGACAAAGTTAGTCAAATTGTGACATAATTAGATAAGATGTATAATCTATCAAAAAAAAAGATAAGATGTATAGTCATTCTTGGTTATTACTTATTATTAATGCGTCCTTTGCATCTTATCTAAAAAAAATACTAATTTAGGAACTAAAATGAAAAAGGAATGACAATTGTAGGTTGATACACAACCATAAGGGCACGTTTGGTTGGAGGTAATCTTGTATACAGGCCGGAATCTGAGATACCCGCGTTTGGTTCGCAGGTTTAAATTTTTTTTGGGAATGTAACATTCCGAAAAGTGAGGAATGTAATCTCATGCGCAGTAATGTTAAACTCATGAAGCTCTTAGGTTATCTTGGATGTCTGGTTGATTATAACACTTCTTCCAAAAATACCCACTCATTTAATCAAGAGAACCTCTTTTAACTTGCTTTTTCCTACATATGCTAATGTAATCGAATATTCACCTTTATTTTTAATGTGTTTCATTATGCATTTACTTAAACAATATAATAAGAAATAATTACATATATATGACTAGAATAAAGATTGTTTACAAAAATGTGACTACCGACTAGAGTAATAATATAATTAGAGTAACTTACGTTCTATTTCTAAACTTTTTTTGAACGAACATTCTATTTCTAAACTTAAGTTACCATAAAACTACATTGTAGGAACTATTAATCATATTTGTTTTAATAAATTTTCTCTTAGTAATATTTTTGAAGAAAAAAAAACAAACAATAATGCTTACTAATGTTCACTAAACTTTGTCATTTGAGCAAATAAGCACATTTTTAAAAAAAAAAATATTCAATTAGTTCTTATTTTATTTATTGTTGAGATATTTCATTTTTTTCTTTAATTTAAATTACTTCTAATGTAGGTTGTAATAAATTTATTATTTGAGAGAAAATATTTGAAGGGCATTGAAGTCATTCATCAAGTCTACAATATATGATATCATTCAACCAAACAAATTAATGTCACATTCCATGAATCTTAACCAAACCCAAATGAGATACCAATGCATATATTCACATCAATCTAACATACTCAGTAATCTGACATTCCCATGGTTATATGACATTCCTTGAACCAAACATACCATAAAGGGAAATGGATGAGTGGTTTATTCTTTTTGTACAATGGATATAGAGTGAGTTTATTTTGAAAATTAAAAAACGGATAACTTTAAGGTAGAGCTGTGGGGTTCAAGGCACTGCCTTTTGTTGGCTCAAGATCTTGATATGGAGAAGGTTATTGTTAAATCAATTCGGAGAGTACTCTTAAAGCTCTAAAGAATGAATATGGAAATAGTGCAAATTGTGTGGAGTGCTTGTTCGGGATTGGCAGAAGCTCCTGGGGGAAAAGAGATTTATTAAAGTACAACATTTTTTTTGCGAATGGAATAAATGTGCAGATATATTGGCCAATGCCACATAAAGCACCAAAAGGGTTGCTTGTGTTTCAAGAGGCTCCTATTTGGATAAAAAGTTTTCTATGGGAGGATGACATTGGATTTGAGACTATCAGGGTCTGTTTACTAACAGAGATATTTTCTTGTTTTCTACTTCTGTTTTTTGTTCTCCAATTTTCTGTTTTTATTTTTCAGTTTTTCTATCTCCAAATTTCTGTTTCTATTTTTTAATTTTCCATTTTCAAATCTAAAAACATGTTCATCAATTTTTTCACCCAGTTCTGTGATCATCCAGAAGACTGAGGACACGTTTACTTCACGGGTTACTAAATGGTGCTTATTAAGACCCGCGTTAATAAGCGGCGCATAAAATAGGCAATGTTGTAAGATCATGTTTACTTCAAAAGGATTAAAACACCGTTTAACATTAAAATGTCCAAAATAACCATATACATATATATACACACAAACATTCATAAACGCAAATATATAATAGGGAAAGTTCCCGAAATAGGACTAAAAAAGTTTGAAAATTCCAAAATAGAACTGTCATGTTTTTATTACCAAAATAGGACTAATTACTGCCAAATGTGGAAAATACTGTCATGTTTGAAGTCTGGTACTGCCAAAACATGACAGTAATTAGTCCTATTTTGGGAATAAAAACATGGAAGTCCTATTTTGGAATTTTCAAACTTTTTTAGTCCTACTTCGGGTAATATCTCTATATAATATAATATGTGGGGTCAATCACCTCGTATATGTATCCATACCCCCAACCCCTACCCTGCCCCTATACCTCGTACCCCCACCCTACACCCTATACCCAATTCCACACCCTTGACCCCTACCCTGACCACGATCTTACACTCTACTCATACTCCCCTACAACCCTTCAAACGTACCCACCCATACCTACTCGTCGAGGTCGAGGTCGGGGTCGAGGTGGGGTATGGTCGGGGTGGGGTGGTAAGGTCTAGGGGGGTTGTGTGGGGGTAGTGGGTGGGTTAGGGTCGTGGTTAGGGGTAAGGGTGGGGGTAGTGGGTGTTGGGGTAAGGTAAGGGGTAGGGTAGGGAGTTGGGGTAGGATGGCGGTAGGGTGAGGCCGGGAGGGTGGGGTAGGGTCATTGTAGAGAAAAGGGGTACGCGGGGTGGGGGTGGGGTAGGTAGGGTAGGGGTAAGGGGAAGGTACGAGAATGGAGGCATCGGAATGGAATCGACATCGGAGCGGGACCGGACCAACCACTAGGTGTAAGTATGCAAATTCATTGCATCGGCACTGTAGCATCTGCGTTTTCCAAATTTAGAAAACTAGTAAAAGTCACTTCTTCAAATCATTAAGGAAAAGAGAGACATGTCTCATTTTTTCGCTTTGTAAAACGATTTGGTAAACGTGTTTTTCTGATTTCTTTTCTCCAGTTTTCCAGCAATATTCTTTGGTAAACACGTTTCCTACCATATTTGGTAAAGTTTGTGTGGCTCTAAATCATTCTAACTTTATTCTAACTTTATCAATTAATATTAGCCACACAAATTCACTTTTCTTAATGATCGTGTCATCCTCTTTCGTCCCAATATAAAAGGAACGGACGGAGTACATATCTAGCTATCTACCCTCGTAAACCGGCTCTTTTAGTACTACTACATAAAATTGGATTAGATTGATTATAACAATAAAGGAAAATAACCACAAATGACGACGTAAAGTTAATTTTACTAATAACAAGAACATACCATAGTATCTCATATCGTTAGCTTGCTTGATGACAAGAATGATAAATTCTATTAATACTACGTGTTATTTAGTCAAAGACTATGTTTGGCAAGCAAACGTCTATGCCTTCTAACTTTTCTGCAATTTAAAAAGTTTCTAAAAACTTCTAATTGTATGTTTGGCATGACAATGTTTAAGAGCTTTTCAAAAAATAAAAGATCTTTTTTTAGATGCTACAGGAAGTAGCATCTGAGAAAAGTCTGTGACTTTTAGCATTAATTAATCCAAACAGCTTGTATATCAAACAAAACATAACTAAATCAAATATTCAGCTTTTTACCAAACAGCTACAACCTTTTCTTTTTAAGATCTTTTCAGTCATTGAAAGCTAACAGTTACTAAAAAGCTCACAAAAACATCTTTTCAGCTAGTTGTGCCAAACATACCCAAAGAATCACACATTCACACCGATGGAGAATAGTGACATTGTTACGTCTTTGGTGTAGTATACTACTATGGGTATGTTTGACACAACTAGCTAAAAAGATACTTTTGTGAGCTTTTTAATAATTGTTAGCTTTTAGTGACTGAAAAGATCTTCAAAAAGAAAAAGTGGTAGCTTTTTGGTAAAAAGCCGACTGTTTGATTTAGTTCGGTTTGATATACAAGCTGTTAGGATTAATTAATACTAAAAGTCTTGGGCTTTTTTCAGATGCTACTCCATGTAGCATCTCAAAAAAATCTTTTAATTTTTGAAAAGCTCTTAAAAAATATTATGCCAAACATATAACTAGAAGCTTTTAGAGACTTTTTGAACAATACAAAAGTCAGAATGTAGATATTTATGCCGCCAAACATAGCCTATACATCAACTTCATTATACGGCATGCCCAGTTACCCACTAAAGTTGGCACACTGATGAAACTCAAATATGCCGAGGAAATTTTGGTACCCAACGCCCCAACGGTATATTGATAAATAAAAAATCATACTCCGTATACAATACTAATAAATAATTACACTCATACTGAGATTATTTATAAGAACCACTTATAATATTTTTATACCGTAATATCAAAAGTTCCTTTTTTATTGGGGAAATTTCTGAAATACAGAGTAAAAAAGTTTGAAAATTCCAAAATAGGATTGTCATGTTTTTATTCCCATAATAAGAGTAAATACTGCCAAGTTTGGAAAATATGCCATGTTTAAAGTCTGATAGACTGGTATTGCTAAAACATGACAATAATCAGTCTTATTTTGAGAATACAAACATGATAGTCCTGTTTCAGAATATACAAACGTTTTAGTCCTATTTAGGGTAATTTCCCCGTTTTATTTTAATACATTCAATATTCCGCTATATATATACAAATATACAAATTATAAAAATTGAAATGTCATACAATAACCTACCAAATACTTGGACAACAAAATTTGATGAGACGATCATTAATATTAGTACAGCCCTCGACGAGTAGTGTCTGTCACACGGAGAAAGTTTTAAATTTGGAATAAAGATTACCTTGAGAGCAATGGTGAAGACATGATGAATAACACGCCGTTGGGTTTTGTGATTTGTGAAGCAAACATTGGGTTGGGCATGCCCTGGTGCAAGGTGAATCCGCCTGCACCTCCTCACGGCTTAGCACAAGAGCAAAAACAAGCACAACAACAACAAGCCTGTTGTTGCGGGTTATGCTTCCCATTATATTATTCAACCTACTCCTTCCCCAAAATTATAGAAAAAGTATCGATCAATTCTCTACGACCTTACCACAACCCTTAATATGTGCTGGCCGGGCACGCACATATATGATATCTTGCAAAATTTTATTCCCTCCTTTTAGCGCGCGTGTAGGTCAAGTGGCGGATACCATCCACTCAATCTTTTCTTGGTTACTTATATTAGACGAATAAAACAAGCCACAACTTTATAACTAACAAGTCCAATTTCATCTATTTTTGCATCATCACCATTCTCTAATCCATAACTGTACTCCATTCTATTACTTATCCTATCCATTTACAATTTTAAATTGTTACACAAATAATACTTTCAAATATTCGCCAACTACTCAATATAACGTCTTGCATAGTTCCAAAATATGTAAATTTTAACAATTAATATTGGTATTATCAAGAAAGATGTAACTTTATCATCACTAGACCACACAAGATTCCTTGAAATGAGAAAAAAGACGTGATTATGATAGTGGGTGTAGGGATAACCCAAAGCTTGTTAGAAAAATTCAATTCAAACTCTCCCGCATGGGAGGTTTTGGGTTCGAAACTCCATGAAGACGGTTTCATATCCAGTGGCGTACCCAAAACTTTTTGTTAGTGGGGGCGGACTTGCATTAACTATCTCACACATCATAAACAGCGACCACATTAATAAAAGATAGTACAAAATCAATTATAAAATAACAAATTATTTGTGGGACAAAAATATTACAATATCATACTAAAAAATGTCATAGCAGGTGAATTTTTACTTTGCTAAAAATAATTTTTTATCACATACTCCGTAGTTCGTAAGTTATTCAAAATTATTTTAACAATAAGAATCAAATAAGAAATGAATCACATATTTATTTAGAATTAACTTAAGTTGCAAATGCACAAGCATATTTAAAACTCAACAATTTATAGTAAATGTAAAAATGTAATTGTTAAAGTTCACAATTATAAGCAAAAAAATTATTTGTAATTATATCAAACAAGCCAAAATTTAAATACAATGTTAAAGAAACTGTAAATTAGCTTAGAGCTTCAAAATGTTTAAATTAGCTTACAGCTTCACAATGTAGAAGTAAAACTAAAAGGATTGGGGTCATAGAAGCTGGGTATCAAAGATCAAACTCAAGACCAACAAGGACACCTAGGCCATGCTGCACGCTAAGCTCCACTCTACCACGACTCTCTTTGTTTACTTAACTCGTTTTTATAGTATAAGTTACTCTATTTAATGCCTATCTTTACAAATAATTTTAAATTTGATATATATATATAGGGGTCGGATGGGGGTTGAGTGGAGGCAGCTGCCCCCCTGCCCCCACGCTGAATCCGCCTCTGTTCATACCTATTTACCTTAGCCTCCCCGGCCCAAGCCTCCTCCACTGACCCCAGGGTAAAAAAAGTAAGTTGGAGTTTTTTCTTAAGAAGTCAATCTAATAAGAAGAGTTTTCCTTAAAAGGTCAATCTAATAAGAAGAGTACCTCATAATGTTATTTATTAGTTATTATTTAATACAAATCGACACGAATAAATTTGCAAACCTATTGTGAATAAATATACATATTTCTATAGGGAAAAGGTACAAATATATCCGTATAGCATGAGTGGGAGTACAAATATACCCTAATTCTATTTTTTGGAAAAATATACCCCTGAACTTTTAAAAAGTGCAAAAATACCCCTCATGTTCTATTACAGGGGAAATTTTACCTTTATTGATTTTAAATAGATAAAATAAATTTCAAAAAAAATATAAATAAATTATAATAAGTTCGCCATATTGACTTTTATAAATTTTATACCTTTATGAAAATATTTTGAATAAGGAACATTTTGATATAATTTTCATATTCAAAATAATTTCGTATTAAAAAATATCATCGATCAAAGTTGATTGACATTGACCAAGAAAAGTCAATTTGACGAACATTTTGGGACGGAATATAAGGTAAGGGAAAAAAAAGAAAAAAATGAAACGATAAGATTAAAATTATGAAAAATAAGACAAAAAGGATTAAAGGATAAATAACATAAAAAAATAAAGAAGGTACAATGATAAAAGGATGAGACAAAATTACTCACCCAAATCTCTTTCATATCTTTTTTAACCAAATCACTTACTTTATTTAACTATTTGCCTAAAAAAATATGTCAATTACCCGTCACAGCGACGCCGCCACCGCTATAGTGACATAAATACAGTGACTTCCATCATCAATCTGGCACAGTGACACATTGACTGCACGGCCATTGTCCCTTCCCCACCCCTTCCCCCTCCCATTACCCCCGCTGCCATGTCCCTGATAATGCCCACTAGATCGATACCTACATCAGCCCTCTCCCTAAATCCATATCGGAAATTGATAAATTTGACATCACCGTAACCCATGCCCTGTAGCAACCGCCATCCCGCTCAAGTTCAAAACTGCCAGTAACTTAATCGCCGAGAAAAGGAGGTCGAGAATCGAGATCTGGATAGACGATGAAGACGTTGGAGCTCCAAAAGAAATAGGGAGATAAGAGTTACAGAAGAAGCGGCAGCACCAATCGTCGCCGGAAGTCGTGTCTTCACAGAAGCCCAGGCGACGCCGTTGGAGTCATGCGGTAGTCGCCGTCGAAGTCTGTCCGCCATGTGGCAGCGGTCAAAGAAGGTAGCAATGCGGTGCGGTGCGCGACGTGGTAGTGCGGTGATGGTGTGTGACGCGACAAAGCAGTGAAGATGCAGACGGACAAAGCAGCGAAGATGAGAACCGTGAGATGTAAATGGAGGTGAGACCGAGGAGAAAGAAGCGTTGCAGACTTTTCAAAAAAATCAAATCACAATTTTGGAAAAATTAAAAAAGGTCATATCTTGGTCGGAATTTGGAAAGTTGAGCGGTTATATCCACGCCATTCTTTCAAATATTATTGGTTTTAATTATAATTTATTAGTTTCTTTGATAATGTTTAATGAATTTTTCTTCACAAAAGTTCATTAGTTTCATAGAATTAAATAATAACCAAATTTCAAAAATGAAAAATTAAGTAAGTTTATAGGTAGTATAATTTAGGTCTTACATAAATTAAATTACTGGTCATCAATCATTCAAGCCCCTAGCCCCCCACATTAAATTACAATGCTGAATTGATAACATTTCTTTAGCCCAAGTGTGGAAATTATAGACATGTCATAGGAAGTTTTATGTGGTGACATTTCTTCACCTCTATCTAAACAAACAACACCTAGAAGGGAAGCTAATAGTGAAAAATGCGGACTCCATAAACAAAGGAACCAGTCTCAATCTCCACGCTAACGTTCATCAGCATGGACATTAGCTGCGAATCAAAGTTGATCGTACGCGAGTCTAGTCTAAACAGAGAAAAATGGAAGAGAAAGGAGTAACAATAATAATAATATACGTAGTAGAAATAAGAACCAACTATCAATCAATCAAAACACTGAATTAAAGGGCACAAAAGGGCGATTAAAGGGTATGGATCGATATTATTATTGTTCCATAATAATGCACCTCTAAAAATGATTTCCACTATTCCATTCCCAAAATGCTTACAACATAGAAGAAAAGTAATCACCAAGAACATTCATCCCTTCCTTCCTCTAAGATAAGTTCATTTACTCATGCAGCACTCCCAAGATGTCTTCATCCCTAAACAAATGGAACCTACACAAATCCAATGGCAGGAAGTCAAGTTATTATTATTGTATAACAATAAAAGTTGCAGCAAGTGGTAAAACACTACTCACTCTTTATCATCCAATTTCACTTGTGTGCCGCCATAATCGGGCAAGAGAACAGTGTCACCTTCTTTGACAGCCACTGGTACATGCTTCCCGGAATCGTCACGGAGTCCAGGACCCACCGCCACAATTTTCCCGGTGTTCAACTGCATTTACAGTTTTGTAAAAAACTATGAACAAATGAAAAGTAAAGAAATGCTAAGTCGGTTCCACAGGAGGAAAGCAAACATATGCATCATTCATTCCGGAAAATAAACACAAAGATGAAGCGAAGTGGGAGACGGACCTTGGAGGATTTCTCGGGCAGGAGAATACCGCCGGAGGTCTTAGCCGGCGCGTTGATTTTCTCAACCAAGACTCTGTTGAGAGTTGGGACAAGACGCTTCCACGACATGGCTGGCTGGCTGGCTGAGATAGGAGGAATGGGATCGGGCAGATGTGATGTAATAGGAGGGTGGAAGGTTCTAGGGTTTAGGGTTTCTGAGCAGGGAGGAGGGGGCTCAACGCATCCTTATTGGGTTGGGCCCTAACGGCTCTACCATTTCATTCTTGGGACAGATCCATGCACCCTTTCTAATCTAAACCTATTCCTCTTGTCCTTATTTTATGTTCAAAAATGATGTTTGTACTCATTTTTATACCTACTCATGTTTGTGAAGATTTTTTTTTTATCTTTGAGTTCCGCTCACAGACAATATTTTGTTTGTGCAAAATTTACATAGACAAAATAAAACATATTTTGTATGTGAGATTTACAGACAAAAAATTTCACAAACATGGTGGGTATAAAGTGAGTATAAGGGTAGGTACATTAAGCATTGTTGTATTTTTTTTATATACAATAAATAACACTTGTAATTCAGAGTACATTAGGTCGTCTCTCATCGAACGTTACAAAATTAGACCGGGTACGACACTCGAGACCGGTGGGCGTAGCTCAACTGGTAGTGAGGGAGTGCCACAAGAGTTAGGTCTCGGGTTCGAATCTCAGCAACTGCGATGAGGGGTTACTATGCTGAAAAATGCATAGGGCCTCTGCAAGTACCGGGGACAGAGCTCCACTCTTTATCTGTCAGATTGTGATTATAGTCCAATTAACATCCTCCCATCGTGCCGTCCGATCGGTGTTGGGGGCCCTCAGGGATGGGGTGTCATCCTTTTTTTAAGGGTACGACACTCGAGTAAAGAACAAACATATTAATCTTTTTGTTCTTTCAAAAATTGGGTAATTGACAATGTTATCGGAAAAGTTATTCTATACATGCTCTATTCATGCTGTTTCAAAAAGCAAATCGTAGTATTCATTCTTATGGAAATGAAAAAAAAAAGGTTTGTCTAATGTAAAAAAAACTTTTATTATTTCATGACATGTATTGGTGCGGTAGAGCCGCACCTAATATGCTCTTCACCAGTTATCCGCTCCGCACTTATCTATCCTGCATTTATCGTAAAAACCTCCTTTTGCCGGCAATACGGTAGTTGCTTTTAAGTTTTAACTAGGGAGAGTTCCTCAAATGGAATAAAAACGTTTGTAAATTCCAAAATAGGATTGTCATGCTTTTATTCCCAAAATAGGAGTAGTTATTGCCATGTTTGCAAAATACTGCTATGTTTAAAGTCTGGTACTGCCAAAACATGACAGTAATTAGTCATATTTTGGGAATGAAAAATATGACAGTCCTATATTGAAATTTACAAACGTTTTTAATCCTATTGAACTCAAATACAAAACAAGAAGCAAACATTGAAAATTAAAGAGAAAAGCAAATGTATGGTCTTCAATAAATATGGGCCCACACTTGTTTGTCAGTGGGTTGCACCGAGGGTCCATTTATGGACCTCGGACTTTGTTCCATTTTGTCAATTGCCACATAAGCTTCACCATGTCCATTTCTTTGTGCATTGGAGTAGCCGAGTAGGCAATTATGTTTAAGGTGTGCATTTGATATCACCCATTGGAGATGCCCTTATTATAATATCACCCAATATTACATTACACATCATTTTTTAACCAATAATCCAACTTTGGCCATGTTTGGTAAATGGCGTTTCTGCCACTTTTTGGCGGATTTGACCATGTTTGGCGGATTTGACCAGTCAAAAACGCTAAAATGAGGTGTTTGGCGTATGGCGGTTTTGAATAGCGTTTTGATCTGAAACGCCAAAAACTAAAACGCTAGAAAGTGTAGCGTTTAGGATCGGCGGATTCTGATCACGTAGCCAATTCTCACTCCTGCCCTTCCATATTCTTCTTCCGCAAAATAAACTTGTCGCAACCATCGACGCCTTGACGGACCTACCGTTTTCTTCTTCCGCAAACCTCTGCCTTTGTGAAGAAAACCAACTTCGAGTACGTAAACTAATCTGAATATTATCGTTGATGATGATAAGCACTACTGTAGACTGTAGTGGAGCCAAAAGTTGTCTGCGGAAGGCCTTATGATCTGGTTATCATCCCTAGGCAGACCTGTGTTCTTCTTTGGCAAACCTCCGCCTCTCCCAATAAAATTATGGATGTTCAATACCTTTATTAGTTTGGACCTAAACTAATTTCATTCAATGAATTTTAATTATTATACTTTTATTTAATTATTTTTAAAATTATTAGCATACTTATAAGATCATACGTATTAAATAAATAAATAAATAAATAAATGTACTAATGTCTTTTTTTGTCTTTTTATCTATTAACCGCTAAAAACAAACAGTTATTCTACCAAACATCTTTCTATAACCCGCCAAACTAATCCGCAAGTCAAACCCGCTGACTCAATCCGCTGTTTAGAACTCGCTAACATTGTCCGCTGAGCGCTAACCGCCAAACAGTGCCTTTAGCTTTCAAATTAAAACACTTCTATTTCAAACATTAACCGCTTTTACTATTAAATAAATTCTTCTATATTTCTTAAAATAAATCACTTTTAAGAAACAGCAAATACAAATACCGCCTTAAAACAATGAGCTTCAAAATATGCCATGACCATAGAAGCATGCTGTGTAAGTGACCCCCTCGTCATCTCCTTCAGATCTACTTCGATTCTCTTTAAACTGAAAAATAATACACTCACAAGTCGAAATGGCTACGCTAAGTTGTATTTTACGTACTAGTATAAACAAAAATAATAAAACCTCACTTTTGTTTTCGAGAAAACTTCCAAGGCAGGACATGATAACATAACTATATGCTTTGGGACGTTGGGTACATCTACAACGTTTTAGTACTTCATACATACTATATGACACCAATGAGCCCTTTTGGCTGAATCTTATGAATTTTTTGAACGGGAAAAGTGTTACAGAAAATGCATTTTAACTCAAGTCGAAAGACATCCTGATTATGTTGTAGATAAACGTAGTAAGTCGAATCAGGCTATCAGACACAGTTACACACACTCATACTTTTCATGTGCTATTTTGAATCAGTTACAGAGTAATTTGTGTGGTTACTAAGTGGCACAACCATATCCTGAATGATTCATTCTTCACCATAACAATCTTTCCTCTCCATAGATAGTCATGCGTCAAAGCACTTAAGTTCCATGTGCCTTGACCTAAAATGAATAAAAATGAAGTTGCTCTGATACAGAAACTAGTCTCTTTAATAAGGAATTATGACTCATCTGAAGACATTCAATTTCATTATATATTGGCAGCTACATCATTTCCAAAGGATGTCACAATGGGTATCTGTAATGATGGCTTCTGCAGTTCAGCTTTATGGAAGTATGACCCGATTAAAACGGAGCTGCAGTGTTTCACCTATGTCTGTTGTTCGCTAAGTAAAGGTGGTTTTTGTATCTACTTGGTAAGAATGTATCTACTTGGTAAGTGGTTCTTGTGCCTACGAATTTTCCTTAAATTGACCCTCGTACTCCCACTAACCACTTCGTGGGCCCATCCAGAGGATAGGCTCTAACATTCCACTGTTGAAGTAACTGATGCTCTCGACATGAATTCATCATGAACTATCATCATCATCATCATTACCCCAGTGCCGCAAAAGCTCCCACCAACGGTGGGGTAAAGGGGGTCGGATGTTCACAGTCTTACCCAAGTACTCTGGGGGACTGTTTTCGAATGACCCATAGGTTGTATGCTTATAATAATAATTGTATATTTGTATAGGTTGTCCTACATCCCGAATAGCCTTTGACTGTAAGTGATGCATACTTGCAAATACAATGATCCAAAGAGCGGGAATGTTACACACCCTTTTAAGTTCAGGAAGATCACTAGTTTAATGTTACATATTTTATAATGTGGCAAGATCTTTCTGTTAACTCAGAAGCAACTTTACCTCTACCTCATGAAGTACTTTACCTCTACCTCATGAAGTAGGAAGGATGCTTCTATTAATTAAAAAAAAGAAGGCTGCTTCTATTAATGCCCCAGCTTAGACAGAAACTGGGAAGTTATAGGCGACAATTTAAAATTAAGGACAGTATAAGTAAAAGCAGATAAGTAAGCAAGCAGAAAAGAATAGAAGCCTAAAATCATCTGTCGATTAATGTAATAATTATAAAATATTTGAAAAAGCACAGAGATGTAGAAATTCAAATTAAAAGCAATTCAAAGCTTCTTAAGGATACTGACGTGTCCTGCTTTTGAGTGCATTTGTTAGAGTTAAAGAGACAAAGACAAAAGAGCACCTGAAATGATATTTTTAAATGTGTATCATTGTCCAGCCATTTAACATTGAAAAAAATCAAGCTGAATTTCATTGTCCCCGTTAATCTACCATCCATAATGTGGGGAGAAGAAACAAATGCTAAGAAATATTACTTCCTTGCATTTGGTTTTACCTTGGGAAAGGCAAAAGAAAATTAAACATGACTACTTCTTTGTAATCCTGTATGTATTTAGGTTTCTTAGTCTTTATGTAATGGAAATAATGCAAAAGAAAATTAAACATGACTACTTCTTTGTAATCCTGTATGTATTTAGGTTTCTTAGTCTTTATGTAATGGAAATGAATAAATAGATTATGTATAAACAACAATGATCTAAAACACATTTATTATCGCTCACATTATCTTTCCTTTCAACTTTCCTCCTCGGGTTTCTTTCTATTTTTCTTTCCCTAGTATTTTAAACATGCTAATTAGCACTCTACCATGTTCTTTTTTCTTTTTATCTTTTCTACTTCTCAACTAATATTCTCTATATTCACATTATAATCTAACAAATTAAAGACAAAAACATTATTCAAGTCCCATAAAAACAAAAACGTTACAGAGAAAAGATCACAACTCATCTAATCAAAGCATCATTCTCAATCAGCATGAACCAAAAATTAGAATTACTACGAAATAAACCATAACTTCCCATTACAAATTCATAAAATATATCATTATATATGTAATATAATATACATGGCTTACTATGTTTTTAGTCCTTGCAAATATAGTGCATTTTGTTTTAGGTCTATGCATTTTTTTTAATTTTTCATTCATGTAATTTTTTTTCTTTTTATTCTGTTACCGATCATAACAATCTCCTTTTGACAA